GGGGTTGTGCCACAGAGGATGAAACAATGCCCTGGGGGACTCAGTTAACCTCAAATGTTCTCATGTGGGGGAAGGGGAAAGGAGAGTGGCCCAGCTCAAGCAAAACTTGTCCTCTGCACCAGCCCCAGGCTGGCCCTCAGCCTCGGGGAACACCACCCTGCCTCCCTCTGAGACTCCCACAGAAATCAGCCGAACCCGGGGGTCCACCCACTGTGCCCAGCTCAGGTCTGGGCCTCGGGGAGGTGAGGCCGGTGGTGCTTCACTCATGGGGCTCTTAAAGGGCCCCAGCTCCCCTGGGGGAAGTCTCCTTCCTGGTCATTCTCCATCCTCTACCTGGCGCCTCCCAATGGACCACCCAGAAGCTCACAGTCTCTCCCTGCATCCCCCAGGCCAGGACTGAGGCAAGAAAGGGCCCCTCCGTCTCTTCAGTGGCCTGGAGTTCAGCCCTCTTGCTGGCAGCGGCTGACCGCACCCTCCTCAGGGGCCGTCTGGAGACTGGTCCTGAATGTGAAAGTTCATCCTCAGTACCTTTGCCTGCGAACCTTCAAAGGGGTGCGAGTGGAACCCCTCCTCACAAAGGCATGAAGTGAGGTTGTCTGCTGAGAGGGAGTGGGGCAGGGCGGAGGTAGCTTGGAGAGAGAAGGCAGGGTGTGGAGTAGATGTTGTGGAGACACCTGACGGAAGAAACGACATTGAAGGAATGGGTGGTCTCAGAGGTAATGGGCTGCTGCCTCTCACTGGGAGGAGGCTTTCTCACAGCTCAGGCTGAAGGGATCACGTGTCGGGGATGCTGTGGGGGGCAAGGAGTCTTATTGGGGTGCCAGCCGCACCACGTGACCCCTACCCCCTGCTCTGGGACCACCCCTGGCTTGCCAAAGCTCCCCCAGTTTTCTGGATTCTGGTAGTGAAGAGGCCCCACTACTGCAGGGAGAGCTGCACACCAATTCAACGTTTCTAATCCCAAGCAGGCTCAGAGTCTGTGCTGCAGCGCCGGAGGCCTCCTCTACCCCTCTGTCTTCATGCATTACAAGGTTAGCTCTCCCATGGACAGAGCCCTCAAGCCCATGGAGTCTCCAACCAGGCAACCCCTAGAACTAACGCTCCCGTGCTTGTCTCTCTCAGCCAGCCAGGACACAGAATCGGCTCAGAGCAAAAGTACTTAATGAAACAGCAGGGGAAATAAAGCCACTAGCAGGCATTTCTTCCAGAAGAGCCCTATGGGCAAGCAGGCTCTTACACCTCTTGGCAGATGGGCACACACACGGAGGGGCCGTTCACACCTCTGACTGGCCCCACTGGAAAGTGCTCCTATGTGTCCATGCCTCTGTCAGAGGCACTAAGGACATTCAACCTGGAAATGAAAAGATCCAGGGCTAGGCAGGAGCATGGGACAACTGTCTTCAAGGATTTGAAAGGCTGTCCTGTGGAGGGGGGCCAAGGAACAAGGATGAAACACGTCCTCACAAGGAGAGCTGAGCCCAAGTGGAATGGCTGTCTCCAGAGGTGGTGAGCTTCCTGTCCCTGAAGGTCTTCAAGCAGAGACTGGAGCGTGGCTTGCACATCGGCATTTCTTTCAGGTCCAGCACGGACATTAGGTCATACAGCACGCTAGCCCCAGCAGGACAGCTCAGAGCCCAGGCCCACAGGGATGGAGTACCGGCCAGATGTCCACAGCTGGGCAACGGCCCCCAGGGCCAGGGCCTGAGCGGTCATTCTGGAAGGCCGCCTCGTCCACCCACCTTGGGCCACAAACAAGGAGACTGTAGGAAAGTCAGGAAGATGTCTCCGATGGCCCTGCAGCCTGAGGGTCTGAGCTCTCTGTCCAGCTGGGACCCCGAAGAGATGGACCCTGGGTTGGCCTCCCTCTCTCCCCAAGAGCCTCTTGGTTGGGCGGACCGCCCAAAGAAAGCCGAGCAGCTTGGGCAGAATGTGGGACACTGGTGCCACCTTCTGGGTGTGCAGTGAAATGATGCCTCAGCGCACTCGGATTCCTGGGTCCGCTGCCCTGCCCGAGCCCTGGTCACAAGGGAAACGAGCTAAGCCCGTTGAGCCGGATCTATCCACCAGATCCTGCCAATGCGGCCCTCGCAATGGGTCACCATGTGCCAACTGCGGCAAGGCCTAGGCTCACCTGCCAGTTGTGTGAGCCTGATCAAGCCACCCCGCTTCTCTGTGCCTCAGTTTCCTCCTCTGTGAAATGGGGGTGAGGTGGAGGCCTAGCTGAGTGACCTCTGAGCTCCCTTCCAAGCCTGGGGTTCCAGGTTTCCGAGGAGTCCCTCCCACCTCCCAACCTGAGATCCTCACTCCAAAACAAGAAAAGGCCAAAATAAAAGGGACGGCGGACGAGAGAGCACGCCATGGGGACGGGCTGGGCACGGGCTCCCTGCCTCCAGACCCAGAAAGCGTCCACTTGTAATGGCTGCGGCCGGCCGGTGAGCCCAGAGAGCCACCAGCCCAAGCCAAGGACCTCCCAGGCCCTCCTCCAGCTCCCGGTGGGGCCCAGGCCAATCCCCACCCAAATTAAGGCAGGTCCCTAGACCCTCCTCCCCGACGAGGCCCCGGCGCCAATGACGAGGAACAAGAGACAGAGGGGGGAAGGGGTGCAGCAGGGGGAGGACAGGGAAATGGGGCTTCTGAGCCCTCCCCAGCGTCCTCACCCTCTCCTCCGTGACCCGGGCTCTCACCTGGGAGCTTCTGTGAGGGTTCGGATAAGGCTGTCCAAGTGCTGGTCCCCATTAGGGGCAGGGTCCCCAGAGTCCTGGACGACTGTCCAAAGGGCCAGCCCGGGCAGACTTCTCAGAAAGCGTTCCCCTTCCTGCCTTCGGCTTCCTGAGCTTGGGGCCGGATCCAAGGCCCGAGAAGACCCAGGCTTCGAGGAACAAGTCTGTCTGGATCCTGGGGATCCATCCTGCCTCTTCCATGCAGTTGGTCAGTCCCTGCCCCCGTCCCGAGCCCCGCACCCGGCCCCCCACGTAGCCCAAAGAGAAGCTGGGCCAGTGGCTGGGCAAGCAGGTTCTTGCCAACGGGGGCGGATTGGACCCTCTCCTGCCCCTCCCCTCCCCACTCCAGCCAGTGACTCCTGCCCTGGGGCTTGCTATGGAGAAATGCACCCCACATTCTTTCATCATCCCATCCACCAAACATGCATAGGTTTTTGTTGACAGGCTGTAGATTTACTTTCCCTGAGGTCAGCTGTTTTTTTTGTTTTTTTGGTTTTTTCTTGGCTAGGCAATGGGGTTAAGTGACTTGCCCAGGGTCACACAGCTAGTGTTATGTGTCTGAGGCCAGATTTGAACTCAGGTCCTCCTGAATCTAGAGCTGGTGCTCTATCTACTGTGCCACCTAGCTGCTCCCGAGGTCAGCTATTCTTGCAAACTAATCAGAAGCTGCTGCGGCATCTTCACATTAACCAATGGGTCCAAAGCCCAAGGGAACTCTGCACTTGGAAGACTTGAAACAGTTTGTTAGAAAAGTTTGTTTCCAAGCTTTTTTTGAAGAGCGCAGAGACGAGAGGCGTGGGTGCGTTTCCGGCATCATTTTCAGCAGCAAAAGCTAAGGGTCTTGCTAATCGTCATTAGCCACTGTCCCATTATCTCCAATGAGCCCTCACTCACCCAAGCCCCTTCTCTCATCATGCCCGGCCTATCTGTAGTGCACCGCTTCCCACCAGAATGTCAGCTCTGCTTTTGTGTTTGTATTCTGCACAGGGCAGACAGCACTTAATAAATGCTTTTCCCTCCCTCCCTCCCTCCATCTTTCTCTCCATTCCTCCTTCCCTCCATCTCTCCTTCCATCCCTCCATCTCTCTCTCTCCCTCCTTCCCTCCCTCCATCCATCCATCCATTTCAGAAAGTATACTCAGGAAGTGGTTCTTACTCCAAAGGACCCAACTCCTTGCCAGATCTGACTGTACCACCACCATTTTCACAAACTCTTTGGTGGATGCACCAACTCAAGTCACTTCCACTGCTTGCTTGTGATTTGACAGGGCTCCCTTTATTAATGCAAAGCTCAATTCCCTTCCGGCTTTTAAAGACCCTAGTCCACAGTGAGGGAAGTGAATCCCTGAATCCACAACCGGCAGTAAATACATCACAATACCCGGAAGTGAAGGAAGATCAGAGGGCACCAGGCAATCCCAGCACAGGGTGGGTCTCCCTGTCTTCCCTGAAGATACCCCACATATAGGAGGCGGCCTGTGGCCTGAGGAAGAGGCACCAGGGTCAATCTGTGTACTAAATACTAGTAATGCTTATTAACTTATTTTTGACAGGAAAAAAATCTGAGGTCCAGTACTTTTCCCCCTGCACCCCCACTTTGGCGGCCCCTTCTGGGCACGTGCTGGGAAGTGGTAGTGGGAGATGTTCCCTGTCCCTCTGATTCTCCTTGGCCTCCTCCGCAGGTTCAGCATGCGTGTCCCACCCCATGGGCATGGACTCCAGGGCTTTGTCCTGGGTGGGGGCTCTTTCTAACTCATTCATCTCTGGCTGCATCTCCAGCCCATGGCCTGCTGGACGTCTCCTCCCATAGCCTGGAAGCATCTCACACCCTCCCACCACCTGTAACTTCTCCCTCACCGCCCCTCCGATGGCTGGGGGACCCATCTGCACCCCTCCCCCAACTGGTCCCCCCTCCCACTCACACTCTTCTCTATTGCCTGGGGATGGTGCTGTCACGCCTTGTTCCCTCCCTCCTGACCTTCCTCCCCACTCCCTCTAATGTTCCCCACCCCAGTCCAGCTATTCGGCCAGCTCTGGCCATGTCGCCCCCACACTCAACCCAAGCGCTTCAGAACCTGGGCCCGTCCTACCTTCCCGTCTTCTTCTTACCCCTTGCGATCCACCCCCATGGCCCAAGTGTGCTGCCCCTCCCCTTGGGCTTCCTGCCCGACTCCGCTCATGGCCCACCTTCAGTCCTCCAGCGAGGGAGAGAACCTGTCTATGTGCCTCGTCTGGACTGCAGGGAGCGAGAGCCATAATAACGAAGCCAACAAAGGTTCCAGCTTCCAAGCGTACTGATTTATTGGCGGGGCGCACAGCTGCAAAACGATCCAGACCAGGTCCCCCACGGGCTCTGGACTCTGAATGCAGATCCTAGGCAGATTTCTACACAGTATGTGGACACAACGAGCAGGACAGCAACAAGGGTGTAAAATTAGGTCATCTGATTTCTTAGTGGAGGGCAGATTTGGGGCTTTCCAAGTCAGGCGGGGAAAAGCAAGTTTCAGGACTTTCCTAGATGTGAAACAAGATGTCACTGAATTCCCACAACTCTCCCTTTTGCTCCTCGGCGGGTTTTTTCTAACATGCTCCTGCTCACTCTCATCATGACACACCAAGAAAGGACCAGTGGGAATCACCCTCTGGTACAGCTTAGTACAACAGCTAATTCAGAGCCCAAGAACAATAATGATCACCAGTATAATATTAAGTCTCCCTGTATCCCAGTAACCCACTCCCAAAGTCCTTTGAACATGCCCGTTTCATCTTGAGCCCCATCTGGTCCTTAGAAAGCTCTTCTCTCAGACATTCTGGAATAGGCCTCATTCTCAGGACAGCTCTGAAGGGGGCTCTGCTGCCCTGGTTCCAAGTCACTTGGAGAGATTCCTAGATAATTCTGCTCAAATCTGCCAGAGACAAGACTCAAGTCAATTTAGCACAACCTCTGAAACTGGGTAAAAACTAGCTTAAGCCTTATGGTTCTGATCCTATTAACCACAGAGCTATAAAAAGAACATCAAATTAAGAACTCATAATTCACCTAACACTTCAGAGGAGTTCAGGTTCTTCATACCCCTTACTGTTTCTTTCTTGACCTAAACCCAGCAGCCGATATGGACAATACTATCAACAGGCTGAAGGAAGAATCTTAAAAAAAAATCCAGGAGAGCCTGACTTGGAAAGTGAGCCCTTCTATTTCTTAACACAGACACTCCAAAATTGGAAAATGATTTCACTTTTTTTTTTTGCAATTATCAATGCAATTTTATATGTAAAAATCCTTAATCCAATTTTCAGAACTTATTACTAAAACACACTCAAAGTCTGAATTTACCATAAGAAACATTTGGAAGCCAATCGTGTGTGTGTGCGTGTGTGTATGTGTGTGTATATATATGTATATGTATATATCTTAATTCTCAAAGAAAACAAGTCTGATCCTGTTGCTTTCTCAAAATTTGCTAGTCCATTTAATTAAGGAACTTTTATATTACAACTTTGTCTAATTCCCCCTTTATATCATATTTAACTGATAAGTTCAGGACAACGAAAACTTCCATAAATGAAATTTCTACAGTTTACCTGTCTGATTAAAGAAGTCTACCATGAAAGGAAAAAAAGGAACACGATTATGAGAACATCAAGACTTGTTCCCTCAAGGACACAGATTGAGCTGACCTAAGCCATAACAAGGGAAAACTCCCAAGGCTCTGTTTAATTTCAGGCACAAGCCATATTCAACAGCCAGTCCCGCAGTAAAGTTCCACATTATTCAGAGGGTATCAAAAGCCAGGTTCAGGATTAACCAGGTGTGAAATTTCCTGTTCAAAAAGGAAACAGCACCTTGGGGAAACTGAGCCAAGAAATACCTCATACCTTAAGCCATACCAAGATCGTCCCATCAACTTTTCCCAAGCACAGACATCCATCCATAGCAGCTCTCAGACTGTAGCACATGCCATTGTCTCCCTAAATGATACAGTATCAGTTTAATAGGTACTCTGGACAACCATATCTGACACCAAACTCAAAACAATATTAAATTACAATCCCAAGAGATTTTTACTTTAAATGGCAGAATTACACTAATCACAGCTTAGGACTAATTTATTATTCTTATTATGTTCAAATAACAGTTAACAATGAAAATAATATAAGGACATTTCATTTAGCCTTCATTTAGAAATTAAAAATAATCACATTTTGAGGTTTCACACATACAGTGAATACATGATAGTTGAGTCAGACACCAGAAGACTTCTGGCTACTGTAAGCCTCCAACCTGTATTGCCCATTCACAGCTAAGGTAAGACTGAAATCTTTGAATCTGAGCTCTACTAAGTTGGTACAAAAATGCAACCTCAACACATACTATTAATGTACTGATGTGACATCTTTAAACCACCTTATACAGTTTCATAATTTTTTGTAAGTGATAGTCAAATATTTCCAGACGAAAACCCATTCATTATTATAGTAAACTTGTAAATTCCCCTCTTTGACAAGGAGTAGAGGAGGGGAATCCTATTTTCTCAGCAGCTAGGTGGCAGAGTGGATAAAGCACCAGATGTGGCATCAGGAAGACCTGGGTTCAAATCCGACCTCAGATACTTATGAGCTGTGTGACCTTGGGCAAGTCATTTAACCTTGTTTGCCTCAGTTAACTCATCTATAAAATGAGCTAGAGAAGGAAATGGCAAACCACTCCAGTATCTTTCCAAGAAAACTCCAAATGGGGTCACAAAAACAGATATGACTGAAAATTGACAAAACATCAAGAAGGAACATAAAATATATACCCAAGTATAGAATGGATCTGTGAAGGAAACCCTTGGTGTGGGAATTCTTTCTAAAGATCAGCAGTAATAAGTCTACGATCATAAATTTGGGCCAGCTAGGTTTCACAGTGGATAGAGTACCAGGCGTGGAGTCAGAAAGACTCATCTTCCCGAGTTCAAATCTTGCCTCAGACACTTACTAGCTGTGTGACTCAGGGTAAGTCACTTCATCCTGTTTGCCTCAGTCTCCTCACCTGTAAAATGAGCTAGAGAAGGAAATGACAAACAACCCCAGTACGTTTGCCAAGAAAACTCCAAATGGCATCATGAAGAGTCAGACACAACTGAATAAGTTTCTAAAACTTCAGTATCAGAATTTTACAACATGCAGTCATCTTATGATCTTGCCTGAATACAAAGTCGCAAGGGACCTCACAGATGAGGCTATCTTAAAGGTTTTATGCAAACAGTAGATTATCATCTATTTGAAAATATAATATGCCCCATTAAATATTCAACAGTTTTCAAATATCTAATTTTTATGACATTCTTTTAACAGTTTGATTCACGATCCAACAGAATCCAGGCCAAACAGAAGCCACCTTTCTAACAGCATTTTTGATACAGAAAAGTAACTTCTCTTTCAATACAGACCCCATTAACAGTTTAACAAATTTCACAAAAACTTTAGAAACACAGTAACATGCGCAATACCATGTATTTAAAACATGAACTAATACTCACTACCAGTCAGATGACATCAATTCAGTTGAATGCATTTCCAAACTATCTTTACATAGAAAATCATTCATTTTATCACCTTTGGCATTTTATACTAACCACATCTAAAACTGGGTATAGAGTTATCCAGTGTGGAGTGATTATGTTCAACTAATGAAACAAGGAGAGTGGTCAACAACTACATAGTGCTTACCATATATATGCCAGGTACCGAGTTAAGCACTTCACAATCTTTATACCATTTGGTCCTCACAACAACCCTGGGACCTAGGTGCTATTCTTATTCTCTTTATAAATCAGGAAACTGAGGTAGGCAGAGGTGAAGTAACTTACTTAAGGTCACACAGGTAATCAATTTCTTAATGCCAAACAGCAAATACAGTTTGTATTAGGCTCTGATTTACCACAATTATCCCATTTAGTTTCAGAATGAAATTTCAGCTCATTTTCAAAGAAGTGTAGTGGCACTCCCAGGTCTCTATAACTTTTCATTTCCTTTTAAGTTATCCAAAAGGCCAAATCAATTCCTTTTGTGTTCATAACCTAGCCCCACCCTCACACCTTTCCCTGAGGCTTTTTGGTTTTAACCCAGGAGGAAAGATGAGGAGATGTTCCAAATGGCAGCCTCAGATTCCTACCCCCTGCTTAGGAGCTTGGGAAGTTTGCAAAGATTGGGAGACACCTTTAAAATGGTCTTTCAGGGCAGAATTTTGTGTTTGCTAGCCATATCCCAGACCATCTAAAGAAATAATCTTCACTCCTTCGTAACTTAGCCCCGTTTTGTGTTTTTTTTACACAATCTTAGCTAACTGTAATACTGTTATCTCTTTGGGTTCTTAAGAGCTTACAAATGTGTGGTCTTAATCCTATTTCCTTTGGTGACCTTGCTTCTAATTTACCCAAATAATTAATTCTTTTACATAAGGCTTTGCAAGTTCTGCTTCAGCCTTCTCCAAAGACATTATTAGCTCCTGGTCGCCTCCCCCCCACAGTAGATATTGCGTGAGAGTGGGGCCCTTCCTGGTTTTGTTTTTTAAATCTTCCTTTCCATTACTTAATTAAATTTTACTTATTTTTAAGTTGCTCCCTGAGTTAAGCGTTTCTTTTTTCATGGTCTAGAAGAGAATTCATAATAGGCAGGCAGCTCTTAAGTACCAGGTAAATTTAAACTGCTAACTATAAATCATCTTTGTCCTTTTCACCCAAACAACAGACCCGTCTATCTCCAAGGAACAAACCTACTGCTTTAGTGCAAGGGAGGTCTAAGTATTGTTTCTCTCTATCTCTAGCACAGTCTTATTCCTATTTTTCCTTAAAACAAATTCTAGAGTGGTACCCCAAAACTCACTAAGAGGCCTTATCAGAAAGGACAAAGAGAAGGGGGTGAGCTCTTCAAATCTGCTTAGCTCAATGGAATCAAACCTTCGAAGATCTCTTTCACACTTCCAAATCCTTCCCTCCAGAAAGAGGAGAGGGGTGCTTACTCTTAATCTGCAAACCCCCAAAGTCTATTAAGATTTTTTTAGCAGTTACTGTAACTTGTAAATTTAAAGATACTGCATACATGTCAATTACAAATTTAGTCTCTAGAAATTGTAGAGCAGCAGAACCCACAAAAAGACAGTATCAAACAAATTTAGTCTCTAATTAGTTTATAATGCCACAAATTACTACAAACCAGGAAAAAGTTTTCCTGTCTCTGACTCTCTGCTTGTATCTCTGTAACCCCTACCTGGCCAGGGCTGAAATGACAGACAGAGAGTTCAGCATTCTGCTTTTAACAGAAAGCTGGGAGAACTATTTCAGCACTCTCAACTCTTTAGCTGCTGCTTTTTACAGCAGTCTTTCTGGCTGGCTGCATCTTTCCCTTAGAAATCTTTCAAGGTAGCAGAATCTACAGAATCTGTTCGCCCAAGAGAAGCTCACAGGAAGGGTAGAGAAGAATAAAAAGGGATTCCCTACTCTTGGGTATAAGCATTTGGCCCACAAACAGCTAAACCCTGGCCGACTAATACATGTAGGAGCTTGCCTTATTAATCTAGTCATTTTACAGAGACACAAAAACACAAACCAATAAGACAGACGCATATTTGCTGGCCTTACCTCCTACTGAAGGTTTAAATCAAAAGAGCAGTGCACAGAATTTTCTAAAAGCCATTTCAAAGCCTTTAAGTTTGCAGTAATTGAAAGTCCCTTTTCTTCTCCAGTATCTTTCAATTTGCAATAATGAAAAGTGCCAACTTGGAGCCAAAACAAATTATTAGTTGAATCTCCTACAGTTTTAGACCAAATTTCACATAATTCAGTAGCATGCTCCTTTTTCATTCCCAGATTAACTTCCAGGGTCCCAGGCCAAAAGAAATTCTTTCAGGGGAGCTCCCACTAGTATGCTGCTACAGATCCCATCATTTCCAGAGGGAACTTCCACAACATAGAGGCTAACCCTAGCTTATTTCCCTAAGAGGACTTCTAGGTGAGGAGGCTTGCTTTGTTCCCTTTAAACGGTCTTCCCAGAGCTATCTGCTTCCCCAGTACTACAGGGGCTTATCTTGGCTCCGACGAATTTGAGAACCAGAGGGATAGTGTTCTGCAAAAAAGTCCATCAGTCACCTGGAGCTGCTCTAGGGAGTTCTAAGAGTCTGTCCCAGGGCCCATGAACCCCTCCTCCTGCCTGGGTCACCAAAAAAGAGAACAGTTGGGAGTGAAATCTGCAATAACTGAGGAAATCAAGGTTCGAGCTTCTGAACATATTGATTGACTGTCAAGGTGTGCAGCTGCACAACCAACCAGACCAGGCCACTCAGCAGGCACTGGACCCCAAATAAATTTTGCAAAGATTTTATACCCTCAATTTGCCTCCAACTCTAACCAGAATATAAGATTAGGTGATCTGATTTCATATTGGAAGGAAGACTAGGGACTTTCTGGGTTGGCAGGGGAAAAGTCGGTTTCAGGACTTTCCCAGACGTGAGACATGATGTCACTCAATTCCCACAGAACACAGTTGCTTGTATGTGTCTTCCCCAATAGAATGTGAGCTCCTTGAGGGCAGGAACTGGATTTACCCTGCCCACCCTGTGCTTAGCCCAGTGCCTGGCACATAGTAAATGCCTAATAAATGCTTGACGATTACCTATACAACTGAAGGATGAACAAAGAGAAAATGCTTCCAAGTTAATATGAAATAAGAATTCATCATACAGATAAGTAAAATCTTCCAACTTTTATTTTTAGGGTACAGTCATTGGAACATTTTTATTTCTTTATAATCTCCCTAAAAGAAAGATATACAATAAAAATATAATCCAACATCCAACAATTTTTATACTCAGAAAGGAATCTGAAGTCCCTGCTGTGGTAAGAAAGGATTGTTTTTTAAAAATATAAATTTCAAGCCAGCAACAAAGCCTGAACACTCTTTTTCTTTAAAAATATAATTCTTTTCCCATTCATCCCTCTGAGCCTCATCTTTCTCTGCTGTATCTGGCCCCAATCTAAAGGCTACTTCCCAACCAGTAACAGTATCTGGAATTATACATTAATTACAAATTATAAGATTGTGCTCTCCTTCATTTGTATCTTGTAATACATTAACTATACTTTAATACCAATTATACACTGCAAATAAATGAGTTTAGCTTTAAAACATTCTTAACTTAGAAGAGGAATTAGAAAAATATTTTAGGACATACTGGACATAACGTAAGTAGAAACTCTGCCCCTTTAGTGACAAGAACAGAGATTAATGAAGTGATAAGTCTAATAAGGAGGTTTGGGGATGAGAGGGGTGCGGAGTGGGTAGAGAACATGCTTGGGGATTCATCTCAACTGATGGCAGCTGTAATCCAACAACAGACGGAGACAACGCTAGAATGGGCAGCCCCATTTAAGCATCAGAGAGGCAACTAATTAGAAGTCTTTTAAGTTACTTCCTTGTTGAAGTCACAAGGCGCTACCAAGAACTGTCTTTGATATCTCTTGGAGAACTGGTGACATCTCCAAAGACTGGGTAAGTACAGAATTTAGGGTCCCCTCCTAAAAGAAAAAGGGGTAACTAGGTGGTACAATGAATAATTGAGCCCTGGGCCTGGAGTCAGGAAGATCTAAGTTCAAATCTGACCTCAACACTGACTAGCTATGTGACCCTGGGCAAGTCACTTAACCCCTATTTGCCTCAGTTCCTCATCTGTAAAATGGGGACCCACTGGAGAAGAGAATGGCAAACCACTCCAGTATCTCATTTTCACAGGTCACAGCTTGCAAGCTGGAAAGGATCTTGGAGGCCATCAAGCCTAGTGCCCTCATTTCACACAATGACTTGGTCAAGGTCACCCAAATGAATGGCAAGGCCAATAAGGACTCAAATCTGGGCCCCGCCTCCAGGTCTCTTCCCCTTTCCCAGTGGGGGAACAATGGGTCGACTGGATTCCTTGCTAGAAGAATGATGAAGGTTTATTAGGGGGTCTCCAGTTGAGAAGAGTTCCTAATGATGGAATTCCTTGAAGGTCTAACTAGTACTCTCACTAAGTCAGCCTTCTCTCCAGCGCTGTGAGCTCAGGGAACCCAGTGGGGCAGGACAGAACATCACCCATAAGGAGCAGAGGTGGCTTTACTGAGGCAGATACCGTTCCCAGCAGATGGTGGACAGGCCCTCCTCACAAAGGTAGGTCTCGGGAATCTCTCAAAGCTGGAAGGAGTTGGGCCATCACGCCACCAACAGACTACCTCTTTTCAGAAGCATTTTAGGGCCTAGTTATCCTGCTCAACATTCTTAGGGGGAGAGATATAGGAATGGACTATCTGTCGAGTTCCTTTCCATACTTGTGACTCTCTAACACCTCACTTGAGAGCTGGCCTGGCCCGAGAAAACATTCCAGCAAAGAAACGATTTGGCACAGCCCTACTGTATGGGCCGGGGACATCTACCATGATGCTTCCCCTCCCCAGTGTAAGAGCCACGTGCCACTTTACTGATGCCAGATTAACAGAAGCCAGAAGCTAAGACTTAAGACCTTTCTGCCAAGGCACAGGCCAACCTCAAGAGGATTTCTGAATTCCACACAATCCAAGGCTATTTACAATGACATAGCATTTTCCCACATTTCCCAGTCAATATAAACAACATCTTTGACCAATTCAGCCCCTTTACAAGAAAGAGAGTAGGCTGTATGGTTACAGAAAACAAACACGAAGTACACTCTGGGCTTTTGAGTAAAATCCGTCCTGCAAAGAGGGATTAGCATCAAAGTATTTTGGCAGGCACCCCCTCCCCAATCCCTGGAAGGACCCTCCCCTCTCGCTTACAGCACTAACCTCTTCCTTCCAAGGCCTGCTCTATGGACCACAATGAGGGCTCTTTCCTGACGAAACTACTCCCTAATACAGATGCCAACTGCCTGGCCTGCCTACCTGCCTGCCAGAGTCAGCAGGTGCCCACGTACCTGTTGCCCGGCTCCCTGCACCCTCACAGAGTCCCAACACCCAGGAGAGGGAACCACAAAAGATCTGGAGTCAAAAGAGTGATATTTAAACCAAATGTTTAAAAGTAATTCCTTTGTATTTACAAGTCCAGTCAAAGAAAGGAATGCTTTTCAACAGGTCATGGAAAATTCCAAATGAAAAAGAGCTAACCAAAGAAGGTACTTCGGTCAAAATCTACTAATAATTTTTCTTCTACACAAAAGAGTTATTTTTAAGATCGGGGGCAGATCCTACCCTGTCTCCTTCTCTCTGTGACTCTGCTGCCATGGCCCCCAAGACTTTGGCTGGCTAAATGCTTAATTCTAACTCTACTAACACTCTACCCAAACAGCCCTGGACTGCACACACCACTCGTGGTGGGCCTGAAACCCAGCATGGCCAACGTGGAAGCCACCAAACAACACACCAAGGCCAGGAATAACAGCATGGTGAGAATTAATGACAAAGCATAATAAAAACCCAGTTTAGTCATTTATTTGTAAGTTATAAGATTTACAAGCCTTTGATTATTTCACAAAATAGCATACTGAAAACTAAATCAAAAATGCAAACCCGAAGACGACCCCGTGTATTCAGCCCTCTCCTCCGCCCAGCTCATGCCCTGGCTTCACCCTGCCCTGGACTACCTCCAGCTCCAATTTCCTTTCTCCCTCCACCCCCAACAAACTGCCAGTCAGGTCTAGCCTCTGTCCCATGCTGTGGACCCCAGCAGGGCAATCCGACGGGGCCTTGGAAACACGAACGGGTCCAAAGGATACAGTACAGTACGTCAGGGGAGCTAATCTGTAGAAGGCTTATTGCGCGTTTCCCCCTAACCTTAAGCCAAGCCTCTGCTCCGCCGCCCTACTGCTGGGGGTAGTGAGGCTGCTGGGGAGCCTGAGGGAATGGGTACTGAGGTTGCTGAGGTCCTGGGTAGGGCGCCTGCCCAGGGTTCTGCGGGTACACGGGAGGATAAGGCAGGGTGTACTGGCCATACATGTAAGGGTTATACCCCATGGGCATCGGCATCTGGCAGTACCTGTGGAGGACAAAGGACATTGGTGAGGCATCGATGCACAACAGACTGGCAATGTCATTCATTCACCCCCGTCCGGAGCAGCTGTGGGCCCAGGACCGGCTCCCAAGGCTCCCCTCAAAGGAAGTTCCACAGCCCACCCTCAGCCGAACCCCAAGCACCCTGGGAGCATTACCCCGGGTATCCCGGATAGGTGGGGTACGGTGGCCCCTGGGCCTGAGATGGGGCCGCACTGGGGGCTGTGCCTGATGCAGGGAGCCCGGGTGTCGGGGACGGAGCTGGAGCTGAAGCAGGAGTCCCAGACACGGATGAAGATGCAGTGCGACTGGCTGAGATCACTGGAGGCGGAGGGCGGGCTGGGGGCTGGGGCTTAGAAGGCTACAAAAAAACACAAATCACTCATTGGTGAACATGCTAAAGATCAGGCAGAAGACAGAACCCTTCCTCCTGCAGCCCACTCATGCCCAACCAGGGAGAAAGGAGCCAGCCCTGTGGACGCTCTTGTTGGACTCCTAGCCCCCCTGGGCAGGCTGTCTGGGGAAGCCGATGGACCCCTCCTCAGAACCGTGTTTTTAAATGCAAAAAAACACACAGGGGTATAAGGAAAGCTGCATGGAAATGCAGAGATTGGCCAGCAGGACAGGCTAACTGCCCTTGAGGAGGTGGTCATTCACCAGCATGGTCCTGGGCGCTGGCGTAGGAGGGGGTACGTTTCCCCCAGCCGCAGGAGAGGTCTGATAGGCAGGGGCCGGGAGAGACGGGGCACTGGGCTCCCGGGCGATGCTCTGCTGCAAATCCCTTTGAAAGAAGAAAAAGATCAGATGCTGAAAAAGGTCTTTTGGTGAAAAGGGTCAGACAAACAACATCCTGAAAGTGGGGTCTAAGACACCCCAAAATAAGAAGTGTGGCACCACCTGGGCCTTTCCCACAAAGCCTGCCGCCCAATGGAGGCTTTTCGTTGTGGACATCAAAGGGCTGGAGGAGGCGAGAAAGTGGCCGGCCTCTTAAGAGCCAGCATGGCCACCAGCAAGAGGATCTCCAAAGGAGACTCCCCCGACCCAATCACACATCCTGAACGAGGGCCCTGGGCAGCCTGAATAAAAGCACGGTGGTATGTTTATAAGACAACCTGGAGGCCAATTCATGAGGAAGGCATCTAACAAAGGGCAATGGGAAGCTGACTTCTGTTAACCCAAGTAGGAGCCAAGGGTTATGTTTTGACAGCAATGCACCTAAAAACGATCTGGAGGTCTCAGTGGAGTGGCCAGCTGAAGCCACATGAGGTAGAAAAGAGAACTGAGGAAGGAGCAGGCCAATGCCACTGTCCTCTGCCAAGGGCCAATCACAGCTGTTCCAGGCCCATTGTAGAAAGAACCACGAAAAGCAGGCAGGTTACCAGGATGGAGACGGGCATGGGGAGGGTCGTAATGTGAAAGGGAAAAAGACTCACGGGGGGCAAAGCCAAGAACCAGAGGTCAAGGACAAAGTCTCACTCCCTGATCCTCAGAGCCGCCTGAGCGGCACAGGGCAGTCTCCAGAGCCCCCTTCTACCACGAGGCCTCCCCCAGGGGCAGGCAGTCAGCATGGGCTTGGCCAGTTGTTTCCCCCCCAGAACCCCCAAGGACACAAATGCAGAGGGAGGAGCCAGGAGAAGGACGCATGTGTACGTATGTACGTACACACACACACACACACACACACACACCCACACACACACACACACACCCCGCCCATGCATCCCGGGGTCGCATACTTAAGGAGCTCATCCCTCTCCGTCTTGCGGGCAAACACGATGTCGCTACATTTGTTCTGAAACTTCACCAGGATCTCCGTCAGCTCGTTATAAAACTAGGAGCAGAGGGCAGAGATGCCAGGTTAATGCTTCTGAGCGCGCGCGGCCATGCTCTGGGGCCCACCCACAGCCCACTCCTCTCCCAGGCAGAGGCCTGGCCCGGCAACACCTAGGGGCCCAGCGAGCTTGCCCGAGGCCACGGAAGCCGGGGGGCCCCGAGGCTGTGCCGGCTGACACTGGAACTGACCCGGCTCTCTCGCTGACAATGTTGTGCACCAGAGGCCCTTGTGTGTGACCAAGAGAGAGCGGCTGTCACCCCTGGATCCTACATCCAAAGCCGGAGTGCCTCTGAGGCCCCCGCCCCACAGAGCCCCAGCTCAGACAGATGGGAGACAAGCCCCTCGATTCCCTGCTTTCTAAGCCAGAAAGGTAGCCTGTCCAGCTGTGGGCACTACCGAGACCTCCAAGAGAAGCCTTGGGAAGACTGGCCACCCTGGGAGGGGACCTTGGACAAGAGGAAGCAAGCAGAAAGGGCCAGGAGAGTCTGACCAGGAGCCATCCCAAGGTGGAATGGGCCGCAGGTCAAGGTCTCCGAGGGAGGTCCAGTCTGGGCGAGGCCTTGGAGAGCCTGGGACTGCGCGCTGCCTACTAGGCCACACACGCCGCCTTCTTAGAGCATCAGGAAGGCCCAAACCAGAGGCAACCTTGGGCTCACCCACCCCCCTTACCTTTGTGCCTTCTTTCAGATTGGCCACAAGCTCCACAAAGTTGTCATAGGCTACTGCCAGATTCTTCAAGACCTCTTCTCGCAGATTGGCCTCATTGTTGGACTGTTTCATCTTGGAAAACTCCTGATGTGAAACCTTGGCCAAAAAGCAGAACCGTTAGTACACATCTGCAGGTGCACAGGCGAGATCTGCGAGGACGCCGCGTCTCAGCCGTGTGCAGATTCCCACTGTGAGCCGTGGAGGCCCGGCCGACAGAGTGCACACCCCACTCATCCACATAGTGACAGACCTGGGGTGAGGAAAGCCCCAGGGAGACCCACACACAACAAACGGGGCCCAGTGCCCTGACCGGAGGGGCAGAACCACTGAGAAAGTCACCCCGCCACTCAGGGACGCCTGCCTCGGCTGAGCCTTTGCCAAAGCCACACTGCTGGGGGACCCAGGAGGCCCAAGGATGGGCATAACACAGGGGTGCCGAGCTACATCAACCCCAAACAAGTGCCTCCTGAAGCACATAAAAACACAATTTCCATCCCTCCAGCAAATGTAGTTTTGTGTCCCTTTTGCAAAATAAAGCCTAGCTATCTAACCCACGTGGAGCTCTTCACCATCCCAACCCTCCCCATTTTCACTGCAAAAAAGGCCATCGTCACAAAGCTTCGGAAACACGGACAATGCAAAGTAACGCAACCTTCTCGCTGGCCTCCTGTTCACATCACGCCTACAGTCAGCTGAAAAGCCTTGCAGCCACCCCCCTCCTCCTCCTCTGACCCGCGGAGTCTCGTCCCTCTTCCAAGTCCTAACCCAAACAAATCAAGATGCTCGTCAAGGGGACCTGCCCCGGCTCGCGTCTCGAGGACAGATTTCCTGGAGAAGAAAAGTGAGTATTTTCCATCACGGCCGCATCCCCACAGCAGAAGGAAGGGTCTTTCTGTGTGCCTTCTTCACAAACACGTATGTGTGTGCCACAGGTCTTTCTGCTCTGCTTCCTGGTACTGGTTTTTTGCTTCGCAGTAACTCACTCATTAGAACTCACGCATGGGCCCCTGCAGAAAGCCTGGGGCGGGGCAGCTCAGCCTGACACAACCCACCTGAACGCTTTTCAGGAGCTCTTCCTGTTTCTTCAGGGATTCCTGAACTTTGCTCGTGAGGCCCCCATAGACGCGGTCCAGTTCTGTAACAGAGAGGGCCTCTTCATTTACGGCACCATCCTGCGCCAAGGCCGACAGAAACTTGCTTCTCATGTCAAAGGTCACAGACTTGAGGTCGTTTTCCAAACGCTCACGGTCCTTCTTCACGTCGTCCAGGCTGGCCAGCAGGGATTTCAGCACGTTCACCACCTGCGAGAGGCAGAGCCCTCACTACCTTCCCACAGAGCGGAGGGGCGTGGAGGGGGAGGGAGGGGAAGCACAGCCACTGGGACACTCAGCCGGTGGGTAATGAATGGAATTTAAGGGAAGGGTCAGAAACGCGCCGGACAGGCTCCAGATCTCTGGCCAACAGAAACGAGAGCGCCGATCCCTTCTCGGCCGAGTCTCCTGCAGAGACCGCTACTTCAGCCCTCCCTCTCTCGTTTCCAGCTGCTGGCCTCCAGGAGGGCCCAGTCTAACAGAGCAACAACTGCGCACACCATCCTGGACAGAGGCAGCTGGGGGCCCCAGAACATACCATGCTGGACCTGTCCCAAGTTCAAATCCAGCCCAGGCCCTTATGAGTTGGGTGACCAGGGGCAACGAGAGTAATAACAGCACTGACCTCCCCGGGCGAGGCCCTAGCCTGGCAGGGGATGAGGAACCCTTCTTTGGGAGAGCCTGGCCACAGGGCGTGATCAGAGGAGGGGAGAGATGGGAAGGGCAGAGCCAGGACGAAGGGACAAGAGCCCACCAGCCCAGACAGAACAACAGCCGGCCGCTTCCTACCCTTCGGCACCCCGGTCCCTCAGGCTCCAGGGCCAAATGCTCCGCAACACTTCTGGTGATGCCTTCAAGGCCAGCAAGCAGAGCTGGGCACCTCGCAGCTGCCCCACTGCTCCGCCAGCGACGGCACCCCAGACTTCCTCGCTCCCACATACCCCTTTCACTTCTTCCCAGGCCAAACTCCCTCCCCCCCCCATCCTGGTACTCTGGGGCTCCTGTCCGTTCAGAGAACCTCAGCGTGTGAGGGTGGGGCGTGTCTCCCTCCCACCTACCACCCGAGTCAGCCTCACCTCACTGCCCTGCATCGTCTTAGCCGGATTTGCAGAGGGGATGGCCGCGTTCAGCTCGGGCTCAGGCTTGCACAGCAGGGCGATGGTGTCCCGGTGAGACTGATAACGCTCTCTGACCTGTCCGTCAGCCTGGACGGCCTTGTCCAGCACAGCCTTGAAATTGGCCCCCTCTGAAGAGAGGAACAAAGAGTCGTGTTCCCAGAATGCCAAGTCCCGCCTTGGCACCCTCACCTCCATTCCAGGGGCTGTGGGTTAGGGGGGAAAGGAAGGGAGAGAACCCAGGCTTGGGAGGGGGTTGGGCACCATCACCGGAGTACACACTGCTGTTAAAAGCCATGCTCTGACAACAGCCAAAGGGGCACTCATCAAGGCGGCACCTGCCAGTGACATGCCAGGCGTCTACAAAGTCTGACCCAAACAACGAGATCCGGACGCAGCCGGGCCAACCCCTGAGGCCTCCTCTCTTGGGGACCAAGGTGGGGAGCAGCTCCCCAAACTGTCCAGCTGTGACAGACAGCAACCCTCCATTCCACAAGGAAACGGCCAGAACTCCCCAAGCAGCTTTCCAAACCACAGCAGAAAGGAGCATCTCAGCATCCCTGGGGGCACCAACTCCACACCAGGTTTCCCAGATGAGGCCCCTCCCCCTGCTCTGCCCCAATGTCCGCCAAGTACACGGGCCCAGTGGGCCCCACAGAAGACCCCTCACCTGCCCTCAGAGGCTTGTAGAGCTCACTGGATGGTGTCCTCTGCCAGCGCTCCTTGAATTTTGCTTTCAGCTCATTGTCAGTGGCTTCCTCTTCGGTCAACAATCTCAACGACTGGAGAAAAAACGGGACGTGTCACATTATGGCCGAGGAGAGTGCCTCCCGTCCTTTCATCGGACCCCACAGCCTCCATTTAAAACACTCCCCCTCCCCAAAGAGACGCCCAGTCTGGCTGGGCAAAGAGATGCTGGAGACCAAGCTCTAGAAGCGGCTCCCTTTCAGGAGGAAGGGCCATGAAGGAAAGGGCACCTGAGAAGCTGACCACCACCAGCCACCGCAGCTGGAGAGGCCGACAAGTGGCGACCCCAGGCTGGAAACCTTCCACTCTGCCTCATGTCGTCCAGAGCAGCCCCTGCCACAGTCCTCTCAGCCCACGAACTCACTCAGGTAGCGGCCACTGCCCTCGGGCAGGCCCTCGTCACCTCTGCCCACTCGGATGCCCAAGGGAGCACCCCATCCTCCAACCCCAGGGCTCCTGATCCCCTGCAGGATCCAGCACTGAAGGCCTTGCTTTCCTTCCCAGCCTGCCCCAGCCCACGTTCTGCAGAAGCAGTGATGGTGGCTGGGACATGCCCTTTCCTGGTCCCCTTGGTGCTCAGGCCTTCCAGTCATCTTGGACAGATACTGGGGTGTGGTCCTTCTGATCTGACCTCAAGAGCTAGGACCTGGGCTCACCCCCTGCCCACAGCACACAGCACAGCCAGGGCTTAGCAGATGCTTACTGACTGAGGTTCACTGAGGCCAGGTGACTTGCTCAGGGTCACACTGCCAGGCAGGGGGCTTCTGGACCCTGCATCTAATCTTCCAGCCCCTCTCCAGCCAATCCCCAGGAACACAAGCCTCATCCCGTCACAGTGATCCCTGCCAAGAGGCTGGGGCTCTTCTCTACCCCGCTGAGAGCCAGACTTTCTGAACCCATCTGTTTCCATCCAGCCTCCCCACCCGGCCCACCCCCTACCCCTTCTCATGGGTCACAACTCCTTATCATTCAATAACAGATGGGAAGTCTTCATAGGGATTCATGCCCATCCTCAGGCCTGGAGCCTGCAGTCCTATCTCAGACCAGCCAGAGTGTGCAGAGGAGGGGAAGGCCTACAGGGCACAGCCTATGAGCTGGGGGATTAGGAGAGGTTGCACCTGGCAGGGCGGGGGAGACTCCTGGGATGAGAGGAGGGGGACAAATGGAACAGGATCATCTCCACCATGGAAGTGAGAGGCTAAGTGACTTATGGCCTCCTGGCTTCTGGTCCAAGGCCCTCCGGACCCAGGGCCACTCCCCCCCCCCACCTCATCCTCACATACCATAAGGTCTCAAGCACAAGGATCTCACCTCATCAAGGATTTCTCGATTTCTCTGCAGCAGTTCAGGCAGATCTTGGATCAACTGGTCGACCGTGTGGATTCCTCCCTGTTCGATCACCGAAGCTGACTTCCCCAAAATAGACTGAGGGACAGTATCCCCAGATATATCTTCGATTGCTGCAGGCAGATTGAGGGAAGCCAAGACCCTAGAGAGAAGGGATGCAGAGTCACACCCGATGAAGAGTTTATCGTGAGATCCTCATGGCTTCCATGTGCAACCACAAGCTGCCTGTGCATACACGCCAGGGTCACGCCTGCGCATACACGCCGCAGGACCATCATGGCTCAGCCACGTCTGCAGAAAGACTCAGATGAGGACAGAGGAAAGGGGATGTGGCACAGGAAGCATTCATGCCTCCAAACCTCCGGGACGCGGCCGTGCCCCTCCTCCGCACACAGGACGTCCCCTGCCAGCCCCGGCTGCCCGGGGTGAACCCTCACTCCCTCTCCCGAGGCCTGGCAGACACACTACGTGCAGCTAGCAGGGGAGGACCACACGTCTGTTTCTCATCAATCACACCAAGCAATCAAGAGCAATCAGGAGACACTGGGTCACAGAGGGGTCCCAGGCTGGCCATGGCACAAGTCAGGCCCAGCACACTCTCCTTCTTCCCTTCGTCTCCCACTCAGCTCCAAGGGCTGCAGTCAACCTGAGGAACATCCCCAGGCTAGCAGACAGGGACAAGGCCCCTCGGTCTCCAGATCTGAGGAAACCTAAGGCCTCTGCCTGGGAGGGCCCGTGAGCCAAGCTAGCAGACTGGCAGAGAGAGTGGTGAGAGGGTGCCCAGGCACCAGAGTAGGGAAGGGCCAACAGACGTGCCCAGAAGCAGCAGGAGGGAAGGAGGCCGAGAGGCGACCTGGGTCAGAGATGGAGAAGCCCAAATGGCAAGTGGCACGACCAACTAGCTAAGTGGATATGTGGAGAGAGGAAGCCAAAGGCAAGGCTGCAAAGCCAGGTGAGTGGATGAAGGTGCTGGAGAGGAAAGCAGGTCATCTGTCTGGGACACCAAGGACCACCCAAAGGGAAAGGTCCAGCAGCGGCTGAAACAGAGTGAGGGGAAGCTCAGCAGAGAAAGACCTGAGGGGTCATCTGTCACCAAGCGAGAAAGCGGGGAGCCAGGACTGAGCTTTGGGGATGGGCTACAGAGAACAGGAGAGCAGCAGCACAAAAACCAAGAGAGGGGCGAGCGCCCGGGAGGACACGGGCAAGGAAGAGACCACAAAGGGAATGCAGTCTCTGGAGACGTCTCATGGTCAATGCAAGGAGGGACGGAAGGCGATGGCATGCAAGTGCTTTCTGGGGGGCAAGGAAGGACCCTGGATGATGGATGAGACGGGGCGGGGGCACATGCCTCTTTCTCTTAGACCAAAGAGAAGGGAGAGAATCTGGGGCGAGGCCAAAGCACATGGGAGGCCCTCAGCCGAGGAGGGCAGAACAGCGCTGATCCAGGAGGCCCAAAAGGAGAGGAAGAGCAAGGTGCTGCAGGAGGGCCAGGGAGGATCACGGCCCCCGGAGGGCCAGACCAGGTGACGGGGGCAGCGCACAGCGCACCAGGACGATCCTGTCAGAGCAAGCTATACAGCACTCACCCGTTGGCCAAGTTGGTGGATTCTCTCATTTGGGCAATTAACCTGTTCACCAGATCGGCCTTCCTCTGATTAGAGCAAGCCAAAGACTGCTGCACGGCCACCGGGACCATCTTCTCAAACAGGTCTGCAAGCAGAAGGCGGCATTTCAACAAGACGATCAGCGAGACGGGCCTGGCTCTGCTCCCCAACCTGTCCCTTTCTGGGCAGCTCACAAGCTCCGGGGTGAGGGAGGTCAGAGCAGAGCTCTGCGGCAGCCACGTAACGGCGGTCCAGACATCTGGCTCGTCAGCACAGGGAGGCGAAAGACACCCAGCCATAGGGATGGCCTTGAACAGAGCCAAGGAGGAGCTCTACAGCGCCATCCATCCACCCACCCCCCAGCTGTGAAAGGGACCCAGTACAAAGTGGACTCCAGAGACAGTGGGCCTCAGAACTCTGCTCTCGGGCCATCTGTGTGTCTGTGTGTGTGCATGTGCGTGCGTGTGTGTGTGTGTGTGTGCACGGGCAGGCCCTCAGAAATCTGCCCTTGGGTCACTGTATGTGAGTGCGTGCATGCGGGTATGTGCGTATGTATGCGCGTGCGTGTGTGTGCAGGGGCAGGCCCTCAGAAACCTGCCCTTGGGTCACTATATGAGTGCGTGCATGCGGGTATGTGAGGGCGTGCATGCGTGTGTGTGTGTGTGCATGCACGTGCACGTGCACATGCAGGTGGGCAGGCCCGACTGAAACCTCGCTCTCCAGCCCATGGCTTTACTGGAGACCAATGAAATCTCATACTTGGAGCCACTCAACTGAACCCTTCACATGCTCTCCTTTGTGCATAATGCAAAGACTTCCCAGAAGAGCTCTTAGCAAAAACATCTTTTCAAAATTAAAAAGTAATATCTTAAAATTGATTTTCCAGACTGTGAAAGGCGGATTAAAAAAGTCAATATTGAAGACTACACTTTTCCCTACCTACCATGTCATGACTTTCCCCATTGTGGTTTCAATATATCACAGGACAGCATAAGAAGTTAAACAGGAATTCTGAGGGAGTTTTGTGGAATCCGCAGATAAGCGAAGGCCAGCAGACTCAGATAAAGTTTATAAACTCAGAAATGCACAAAATATATGTATGGTATTACATATCAACATCTTTTATCTTTTAATACCATAATGATTCAGACTTCTTCTCTGATATTAAGGAAGGGCCAAATTTTTCCCAGATCCAGGGATTTTCCAGATCATGGGGGTGTCATGCCCCTAATCCCAGTGATGTGGAAGGGATAACTGCAATCTAATTCACAAATTAGAATCTAACTCTGGAGAAGACACAACTGAGGTGAAAGAGTTTCTAAAGATTGGCTTACCAGTGAATTTCTGACTGAGAGGCACGTGGATGAGCGTAGGCTTCACAAGAGTGACTTTGCCAATAGGCTCCAGGTCTTTAAGGTCTGGAACCCGGTCATGATAAATGAAGTCATTGTCCTTCTTTGCTGCTGTAAGGGCACGGCTGATTTTGTCAGAAAAATCCTTCACGCTGATATACTCATCATACCGAGACGCCACAGTTTTGATCAACTCTGCTGCATGCTGTAAAGAAAACGTCCTATCCAATTGTTCTGGAGAACAATTTAGAACTATGCCCAAAGGGCTATCAAACTGTGCATACCCTTTGACCCAGCAATAGCACTTCCAGGGTTATATCCCAAAGAAATCGTACAAATGGTAAAAGGACCCACATGAACAAAAATATTTACAGCAGCTCTTCGTGTGGTGGCAAAGAATTGGAAATTGAGAAGATGCCCATCCACTGGGGAATGGCTGAGCAAGTTGTGGTAAATGAATGTAATGGAATACTACTGTGCTATAAGAAATGATGAGCTGGCGGACTTCAGAAAAACCAGGAAAGACTTGCATGGACTGATGCTGAGTAAAGTGAGCAGAACCAGGAGAACATTGTACATAGTAACAGCCACGTTGTGCGATAACTGACTTTTGACAGACTTGGCTCTTCTCAGGAGCACCTAAGAATCTAAGACAACTCTCAGAGATTCATGATGGAAAGTGCGATCCACACCCAGACAAAGAACTCTGGAGTCTGAATGCAGAGGGAAGCAGACTATTTGCTCTCCTTTTCCTTTGTTGTTTTATCGCTTCATTCTCGTGGTTCCTCCCATTAGATCTAATTGTTCTTTATATCATGACTGATGGGAAAATATCCTTCATATGAATGTATAAGCAGAGCCTCTATCAGACTGTATGCTGTCTTGGAGAGAGGGGAAAAAGTGAGAAGGGGAGAAAATTTAAAACTCAAAATCTTATGGAAGTCAATGTTGAAAACTAAAAATAAATTAATTAATTAAAAAGAAAAGAAAATATCCCAATTAAATCAACCCATTTACCATGCCTTGGATCTCGTCTGGCGCCCAGTTCAAGGCAACACTCAGACCCAGGGCACACCACATGGGGCAACCCTGAACTCGTACTGCCAGGGCTAAACGGCCGCTCGTTGCCTTGACTGGCCTCTGACAGGTCTGGCCTGTGTGGGCCCAGACCTGTCCATCAGGACCCCAGACAACTCTCAAAGACCATGCAAAGACTGAGGGTCAGAGAAGGTGGCTGCTGATCTGTATGGATTGAGGGAGTCCTCCCCACCAAGGGACGGTTCCAAAAAACGGGAGGAGAGCAGAGGCAAAAAAGGCCTATCGGTGAACTGGCTTGGAAATCTAGTAGATTTCTACAAGAAAACAGGCATCTCATTCCCCACAAGTCAAGGGTAGCCCCTGCTACCCTTTACAGAGAAGGTAGCTGAAGCCCAGAGAGGGTAAGGGGTTTGCTTGAAGTCACACAAGGATGAAAGGTAACATTGCTCACACTCTTCCTTAGCCCAGGACTTGGGGCCTGTTCCTTTGCCTTCCCTTGTAACTTTAAAGCCAGTCCCTGAGCCACCTGCTGCTTACATGAACACCCATGTCCCCTGCCCACTCCTCGGACCTCCCATTTAGACTCCACTGCACCAAGACTCTCTCCATCCAAAGTGCCCTGGCCTGGGAGTTGAGAACACCTCCTGTGTGACCTCAGTGAAGACACTTAACCTCTGGAGTCACAGCACCTTTGTCTGGAACGTGGAGGGTGGGGTTTACAGGCACCCTCTACAACACAGGGTGGTCAAAGAAACATGGGGAGGCCTGGCGACAGTGGGATTCTAATGACCAAGATGGATCTCCAAGAAAGGAGAAAATGCGCTCCTTCCTCACCTTCTTCACGGGGAGGGGGAACGGGACTTGAGGTGCATATAGTGTACAGCTCGGCCAAACGGCTTCTTTGTCCACCTTTTTACCTTCTGTCACAAGGGAGGGATGGCTCGACGGGGAGGGGAAGACACACATGTGGAAACAAAAGAAGGCAAGAGAGAGCCACCCAAAGGTCCCTCTGAGGCAGCCAGCTCACCTGCAGCCTGGCAATCTCCTCCCCAAATCTCTTCTGCTGCTTGGCTAGCACCGCCTGGTGGTATTCGGCATGGGCCTGCATCACACAGTGCTTCGCAGCCAGGACAGGGAACACCTCCTGCAAAGAAAGATGCTGACCAGGGCAAAGTCCAACCACAAACCCACCACAGACGACATGGGATGCAGGCAGGAAAAAAGGAAGAGGAAATGAGAACGGGCCAAGGAGCAGCCGGAACAGCAAAGTCGCCGAAACAACGGTGGAGGCACCGCGTGCAGGGGATTCGAGGGCTTTCTTCTTCCGACGAGGAGAGCTCTTCCAGCGTTCTCTTGGACCGGTCTGGACCTCAAGACCCACGGTGACCAAGCCATGGGGGCAGCCAATGCTTTACAAAGGGAAAACTCCAGTATGCCAGAAGAGAAAGGAGGGCTCCCCACGCCAGCTGTGACCCACTACACAGCTAGCAGTTCCATCACCAAGAGATTCCAAGAGAAGGGTAAGGGAGCAGCTAGGTGGCGCAGTGCATAGAGCACTGGCCCTGGAGTCAGAAGGACCTGGGTTCAAATCTGGCCTCAAACACTTACTAGCCATGTGACCCTGGGCAAGTCACTTAACCCCAACTGCCCCCCCCACTCACACACACTCACACACACACACACTCACGGATAAGAAAACAAGTCCCCACTTACAATGAAACTCAAAGAGGACGAGAGGATCTGGCTGTAGAAAGAGCCCAGCTAAACTCTTCTCTCATTCTCTCACATGCACACACACACCCACCCAGCAGACAAACAACTGCTCTCGGCTCACACCAGAGGAGAGGACCTCTCTCCAGAAGCCTGATTGCAAGGCATCCTTGAGACGCAAGAACAGGTCCAGGCCTGAAGTCCCAGGTCAGCGTGCTCACACAGCACCATATAAAGCCACCACTACTCCATCCAAACAACAAAAATTAGAAATCAGCGCTTTTCTGCCTTGCTCCCTGGATCGCTACTTGCAGACGCGACAACATGACAACACCTCATGAGCCTGGTGAGCCGAGACAAAAGCCCCCCAAGGCCCTTCACCAAGCACGGCCCAAGGGGCACCTCGCCAGGCCAGAGCCAGGGGCCCAAGGGCCGCGGCCTGCCCAGCATCAGTCCCCTGGCATCCCAAAGGGATCCCCCCTTCCCTCCTTTCTGGCTAACGCGAGGGGCAGCAGACTGGCTGCAATGTCAAGCCCGTAGACAGAGAGGTGCCCGGTGCTTGGCACAGAGCAGTACGGCCACTTCATGGCGACCCTCTGGGTAAAAAAGGGCTGCTCTTCACGTCCCCATACAAGACTTCTGGACCAACATGGTGATTCCTGATAAGAACAACCCCAAGACTCTCGCGATCTGAACAACAGGCTTTCTTGGTTTCCCTTGGACAAGTTTCCTGCATTCTTCTGAAACGTAAATGTCTGGTATTGGCATCAGGAAACCCTTAATATCTCAACTAAAAAAGTACCAGAAGCTTGTCAAGAACATCGTGATCCGAGATCAAGGCCACAGCTCGATGTCTGTGCGATGACATTACAAGAAATCCCTAAGGTTGTGATATGCAGCTTGGCATCCTCCAAGGGACAGACTGACCCTTCTGAAAAGCAGACAGCATACCTCACTCCGGTCCAGTTACCAAGAGACTACATGGTGAGGCCTCGGGCTTTCTTTGGGGCTTACGGCCTGGCTGGATACACTTCAGCGTGTAATTAAGTAGGAATTAATCAACATGCTAAAAATTTGTGCTTTTGCCAAACTTCTGGGAATCCAAAGTCCTACGATTCCTTGATCTGACAAAATGGTAAGACACAGATAAAGAGAAGTTTCTAGGAAAGAATAAGTTTGAACTGAGAAACCAGGATTAGGAACGAGTTAAAAGACAAAGGCATCCCCTAAACACAAAATCAAAAAAACCCACAATTCAAATAAAAATTGAGTCTTTGAACATGTCCAAATAAGCACTAAGCTCCCCATTCTCTAGAACCGTAAAGACAAAGACAGCTTCCCAATTAACCCTCACCCAGTCTTCAATGATATGCGCAGACCAAAGATCCATCCAAAGACTCCAACACCAGAAAAAAACTAACCGGGGCTTATTCCCATTCAGAACAACTAACCTTGGGAAGGATGTCCTTGTACTGACACTGCTTGAACGCATCGCCATAATAATCAGCAGCTTGATTGGCCAATTTTGCTATGACGGCATCTTTCATTTTATCTGAAATAGAGAAGCAGAGAGGGGCCATTGAATTAAGATCGATTCTATGCCTCAACGAGTGTATCCTTGAGCACACACATATGCGTACACACGGCTCCATAATCCTGCCTTTAGAATGGCTCCACGCTTTGCACAATCATAAATCACTCCTTTCTGGGGCACCAAAGTTTCCTTGGCAGAGTCGAGACGTCCTCAGCTGGCTCGCTGCCTGGACCCTGGTTTCACAAGAGATGGCGGGCCAGCATTTGGTGCAGTTCTTCAGTTACTTTCCACAGGGATAACTTGTGAGAGTGCCTCAGACTTTGTGAACCCTCCCTCCCCTGTCACAGCCGCTGGAGGCAGTGAGGTCCCTGAGATGACTCAGAGAGATATTATAGATGCACAGCCCCACCCCAATCGAGGGCCGGCTGGCATTTGAACTCAGATCCTCTGACTTCCAACTTAATATTCTTCTTACTTCATCAAGACAAAATATGCCTGTTAGATTAAGAAAGCAACATTAGAAATGTGCCCCTAAGGGCAAGCTTTCACTAGAATGTAAGGTCCTAAGAAGCAACCTAGTGAAGTCAAGGCTGGATCAAATTCCAAGCCAAGAAGATCTGAGATCAAATCCTGAGTCAGACCCAACTCACTCACTTGCCCTCAGTTTCTTTACCTGTAAAATGAAGATAACCAGAGCACCCACCCCACAGGGTTGTCATGAGGCTCAAATGGTATAATATAAAGCTCTTTGCAAGTCTTAAATCAACAGGTAAATGTCCATTATTAGCCACTAGGAAAAAGAGAACGACTAACTTGCAACCCATGAGCATGGCAGTTCTGAAAGCATTCCAAAAGCATTGTGAAGAGAGCCCAGCATAGAGCTGACCAGCCTGAGTGCCACAACTAGGGGACTGAGGTCACCCACCAAGTCAACAACAGCAAGGAGAGCAAGGCTGCCAAGCCCAGAGGCCCTGCCCCTGACCCCATCACCACTGCCAAAGGGGCCTATCAGAATGAGCCAGGGCCAAGGGGGACTCAGGAAAGAGCAAAGTCTGAAATGATCGTGTTTTCTGTACTGATCCAAGTGCCCATCGCCCTCCTGCCTGCTTGGAATGCAGGGACATGCCTGGAGTTGGGGCCCGAAAGGCCTCCTGTCAAAGGGGGCCTTCCAGGAAACTGGAGATTCAGAGGCTGGGGACGAGTAAAGCAAGCTCACGTAGCTCTGTGAGAGGGAGCCAGGACAGGCTCGAGAGACCCTCAGCGCCCTCCATGAGCTCAAGTCCTAAAAAGGCTACACTCTCTTTGCGTCCTCCACTTGCCCCTCCTGCTCCATCTGCCTTCCACCCTCACTCAAATGTCTGTGACAGCCTGATGGCTTCAGGCCTCACCACCCCAGCCTTCCTTATGTCATGCCCTCGGCAACCAGGCCCCGCTCTCTCCAGCTGGGATCTGTGTGGGCTCAGTGCCCCATCTCTTCCTCCTCCTCTCTCCCCTCCCCAGCCGTGGTCACTGCTGCTCAGAGCTGACGGGGGACCCCACCTCCCCCGATGCCCTCCAAGGAGGGGGAGCCCACCTCCTCCTGAGGAGAACTCAAGGGGCAGCTAGGTGGCGCAGTGGATAGAGCACTGGACCTGGAGTCAGGAGGACCTGAGTTCAAATCTGGTCTCATACCAGACACTTGATACTTACTAGTGGTGTGACCCTGGGCAAGTCACTTAACCCTAATTGCCGCATATTAAAAAAAAGAGAAGAGAAGAGAAGAGAAGAGAAGAGAAGAGAAGAGAAGAGAAGAGAAGAGAAGAGAAGAGAAGAGAAGAGAAGAGAAGAGAAGAGAAGAGAAGGCAAACTGCTTGGGAGGCTTATGCTGACATCAAGGCAGTAGGGCACTCAGACAGTCCTGAACCTAGTTAGCACACATACCAAATGACAGTCAGATGGCACCTTCCCAGAGGGCGGCTTGGCTAAAACACAGGTGTGCCAGCTCCCCATACTCCCTTACATGACTTACTCCCTTCCCCAGTTTGGAAGGTTAGTCTCCAGTCGATGGCATCACGTTCTTCTCCACCCAAATGGTGCCCAGCAAGTCCGACCCCAACCCTGCCCTTGGCCCCGGCACGGCCACCCCATTTCCTGATTCTGGCTGATGGCACAGCCTTTGCCCCTGCCCTGCCCCACCCCCACAGTTAGCCCTGACCGTCCTACAGCATCAGCAGCCCCAACTTCCAGGCTCCCATTTTGAATCCTACCATCCCAAACCAAGCCCTCACTGCTGCCTCTCCCCTAGACTAGCTACAGCCAGCCTCTCCCCCCCCCCCCCCCGCCCCCATCTAGCCTTCCCCCAGCCTGCTCCGGCCACTCTCCTGCCTGACCTTCCACTCGGCCCTCTCACCTGGAGGGGAAGAGCCACACTCCCTGCTGCAGCATTCCAAGCCCTGAGCGGGCTCTCTCTTCGCATGCCCTATCCTCCATCCTACAGGCTTTTGCTCTCCTCCCACCTCAGAACCCCCAGTTTCCTTGGAGACTCCCTTCAACAGGAGGCCTTTCAGACCCCCAACCCCAACCCATGCACGCCCCAATCAACTAGACTGTGAACTCACTGACAGCAGGAACAGACCCACATCTGCCTTGGCCTCTCTGGTGTCCAGCAGCCACAGCAATGGTCAGTAGACATCTGCAGACTGACTGATGGCTCTACCCTGCTCCACAGCTGCCCCACGCCCAGGCCAGGGAAGGCACTTCACACACACATACACGTACACACACATACACGTACACACACACACACACACTCACACACACACACACACACACACACACACACACGGGACTAAATTCTAAATCACCTCTTGTGGCTTTGAGAAAGAACACTTCTTGGGCTTGGGCCAGCATGATGACACTCAAGGTGCCTGTGGTATCTGGAGCTATGTCGGCGGTAGGCTCTCGATTCAGCGCAGACAAAACAGTCTCCTTGATGTGCAAGAAGGCACCGCTAGCAAACTGCAAAAGAAGAGGAAGGCCTTTCGTGGGTGTGCAGACACGTGTGGGGACAGCAGCCGAATTACAAAAGTCAAAACACTGCAATAAGAGTCATATGAAAGGTGGAAGCACGGGGACAAAGCACAAGAGCTTCTCTCCTCCCACAGTGGGCAGGGTGTTGTCTGGAGATGGCAGGGGACCACATGGGCACCACACCGGCCTCCCCAGCCCTGCCCTGTGGGTCAGCTCTCTCTTTTGGGGTGGTCCTAGAGGCTGGTCATCACTCCAGGGGCGGGTGCAGAAAGTGCAAGCTCTGAGAGAGCTCACTTGAGCGACGGAAAGGCCAGCAGGTCAAGCACGGCTTAAGTTTGGACATGTCCACCAGGCCCCGCTGCTCAAAGCAAAGGGGCCTGAAGAAGGCACCTCGCAGCAAGAGGACTAGTGAGAACAGAAAGGAAGAGGAGCTGCCGCTACCGCTGCTGCCATGGGGAAGACAAGAGCAAGACTGGAGCACTGAAGACAGGAGAAAGGCGGGCCAAAAATCATCCCTGTAAGCCCTGAAGAGCTGGGCCCCCAGCCACCCCCAAAAAGGTTTGGGGAAATTCCCCCTTCCAATGGGCCCAAGCGTCTTGTCCCCATCGAGAGAATGACAGTTTCCAACCAAGAAAACAACCTCCTGAAAAGCAGGATTGTCTCAGAATTACAGAATTTCCCAAATGGAGATGGAATACCAGAATGCACCTAGCACCAGGCCATAGGTGTCCCCCAGTTAAGAAACAGATCTAAGAGATCTAAATAACCATGCTTCATTGGCCTGGAGACCTCACTGGAAACGTAGGCACCTCACCAAGGCCAGACCTGGCAAAAGGGACCATTGAGCAGAGGTATGCCGACACGACAGAAGCAGGACATCTCAGGATGATGAAGAATTAACAACTATACATCGAAATCTTGTGCATTCAACAACAAACTGAATCAACAGGCAGATTCAGCAAAAGGACACAGTGAGTATTAAAATCCTTCTGTAGACACAAAACACTGTGATGTTCATTGTACGAGTCAGCCAAACTTACTATGTTCTTTAGCATCAGTTCAACTGAAACTGTCGTCTCCAGTTACCAGGGGTCTCTTAATTGACAAATCTGACCATCTTCTCCTCAATGCTCAGCCTTCTTTCCTGACCTCTCTGCAGCCACTGACGCTGTCAGAGACTGACACAGTGTGAGAGTTCTCCATCAAGGAAGCCCAGGATGCTCCTCTCACAAGTCCAGGAGGGCGGGACGGTATAAATTGCCCTTTTCCCCCTTCCCCGGTTTTCTGGACCCTGCTCTCACCTGCTTCTCCTCCTGACTATCTGACCACTCTTCTCAGTCCCCTTTGCTGGATCTTCATCCACACCCCTGATTAGAGCACCAGCCCCCCCCCCGCCCGGTTCTGTCTTTGGCCTTCATCAGTTCCCATGGGTTTAAGTATCATCTCTCTGCAGATGACTCCCAGATCGATCCATCCAATCCTAGTCTCTCTCCTGCGCTCCAGGCAGCAGCACCGACTCACTACTGGACACTTCCAGCTGCAGGCGTCCCAAGCATGACACATCCAAAAGAGAACTTGTTACCTTTCCCCACCAACCCGCCAACATCTGCTCCCAGTCTTGCAGGTTCGGGATCTCAGCATTAGCATTAGTCTGGGGTCCTCACTTCCCCGCATCCACACATCCAATCAGCTGCCCTACAACACCTCTTCGATCTGACCCCTTCACTCATACTCCCCCGCAGCTCCCACCTTTGGCCAGGCCCTGATCGTCTCTCACCAAGATCACTGCCACAGTCGGCCCTAAGGTGCCACCCACTGCCGCCAATGCTGTTTTCCTTAGGCAAACATTTGAAAATGTGACCCCCTCCCCTAATCAATGGGGCCACTTGAGGGTGGAATCCACTCTCCCGTGTGGGGCCTCCCAGGGCCTTCATGACCCAGCCTCTGCCTAACTTTCCAGTTTCCTGATCATCACTCCCCTAGCCCAACACTCCATCTTTTCCACTTCCTCACAAACGACCATCCCCAGGCTCCCCCACTGCCTCTCCTCAGCCCAGATGCCCTCTCTTCCTTCAAGACACAGCACCCAAGCACCACCTTTTAAAAGGCACCATTGTTGGGCCCGACTGCTAATGCACTCCCTATCCCTTACCACATGGGATGCAGTTGCCTTCTCTCTGACGTGCTACACACATGTATACATAGGTACATGTACATATGTACATATACACACACACACCACCAACAGAGAATAAATTCCTTGCAAGCAGGGACTGCATCCCTGTGCTTAAGGCAGAATGTGGCACCAGGATGGACAGATCCAAGGTGCAAACACAAATCTACAGTCTGAGGGGTCTCAGGGCTCCCATGGTCACACTGCCTCCTTTCTGGAGGTCACTGTAAGGACAGTAAGCAGCCAAGCTTGGACTCAAAGCCAGGCTCCTGGATGCCAGCATGACTGTCCCTGTGGATGGCACTGAGGCAAAGCTAAGCTTTCGCTGGCGGAGCTGAAGAAGGTTAAGGAATTAAGGAGGCAGAGGCACAGGGAAGCCACCTCACGCCTCTGGGTCAAGTCCCCAAGTGTGAAGGCAGAGCTGAGGGGTTTAAAGAAGATCATGCCCCAGAGCTGGCTGAGCTCCCTAACAAGGGAGAAATTCTCACCTCCCATCTCTGCCACTTTGTAACTTTGGGAAAATAACAGCACTTTCTCTGAGATTCCACTTTTTCATCTGTAAAAAGTGTGTACTGTACCAGCAGACTTCTTCCAGCTTGGAATCTTAAAAAAGATCAATAATTTCAATTACATCACATTTAAAAGCTGTGGATGGATCCAATCAATGTAGCTAAGATAAGAGGCTGTCAACTGGGGGGGGGGAATCAATGCATCAAATACTTCTGAGGCAAAGTCTGACATCCAACAGACACAGAAAAATGAACACACATGTCTAAGACCAACAGCCAATCCACCATGGGTTTAAAGTGGCCAAACGAGACAGTTTACAAAAGAAAAACTGCAACTTTCACAGACCACATGAAAAAAAGGTTCCAACCCACTAAAAGAAATGAAATGATGCCAACTCACATCCAGTCAAATGCTCAAGACAGCCAAGAATGCGCAGAGCTGGGAAATGGTCTGACCAAGCAGGGCAGAAATGCCCCTACTGGGCATGGTCCCCCAGCAGGGCAAAGGCAGAAAGGTCTTGTGACCCTTGCACATTTTATGACAAAAGAACATGACGAACTCTCAATTACTGTGCAGTGAGAAATAACCAAAGGCAGCTTGGTAAGAACAGACACGACAGGAGACAAGCAGAATCAAGCACCAACAGGCCAAGAACACAATGATGTAGACAAAAAGGGGCTTCCCTGCTCCTGAAAGAAAACCAAGGAACTGCTCTTTCCTAGTTTTTACTGGGTTTTCTTTTGTTACAAGGCGTACTGCTGACTAGACTGGGAGGGGGGCCCCAAGAGCATCACTTAAGTTGTTTTTAAGAGGGAAGATGACCTGGGGGCACACAGATGCTGGTGACAAAAATCTCTAGAGACGGGAGGAGCAGCATCTGGGAGGAGCAGTCAGGAAGAGCCTCCCCCTGCCCCAAGGGGCACAGACGGCATGGGAGGCTGAAGTCAGGACAGGACGGCCTGGTCTTATGGAGGGAGGTCAAGCAGAGAGCAGGACTTTCAGAGGACAAAGGAGGCTCCGAATCATGAGAGGGGAAGGGCTGCAGGGAGAAAGAGTTGGGGGGGGGGGGCGAGAACAACACTAAAAATGTGGAACTCTACCCTCCCCAAAGTCACTGTGCCCTGTGACCTCATCATATCACTACTAGGCCTAAATAAGAAAAGAACTCGTAGCTACAGAAATATTTGTGGCAGCTTTTTGAAGGGGCTATCAACCCTTCCAGTGGGTAGCAGCTGAACAATACAAGCCTGTAAGAAATGATGACGTGGGGGCAGCTAGGTGGCGCAGTGGATAAAGCACTGGCCCTGAAGTCAGGAGGACCTGAGTTCAAATTCGGCCTCAGACCAAACATCTGACACTTACTAGCTGTGTGACCCTGGGCAAGTCACTTAACCCCAGTTGCCTAAAAAAAAAAAACAAAAACAAAAAAAGAAACGATGAAATGGATTGGGTCAGAGAAGCCTGGGAAGACCTGTATCAAGAGATGCAGAATGCAAGAAGCAGGACCACTGAGATGACATTATAAAAACGACCAGCGTGGCCAGAGCCCTAATGGGGCAATGACCGAGCCACACCAGAGGACCAATAAGGAAGCCTGCTTCCCACCTCCTCAGAGAGGGCAGCACATTTGGGAGGAATCTGCTTGGCAGGGAGAGGCACACTTGCTACAAAAGCTCTATTTTTCTTTCTCAGAGCAGAGAGGGCGGGCGAGAGAAAAGAAATCAACACTTTTGAAAACCAAAACTAAAAAAGGAAGGGGAAGCATTACTGCATCTCTGAGGCTGAGAGGCCACAGCTGTGTACCTGGCAACACCGGGCTGGCAAGGGCCTCAGTCCAGTTGGCCCAGGCTGAGGCACACCTAAAATACAACCTGCACAGACTTAAAAAAAATATCCAGTTGCAAAATGGGATGCCTTCAAATGAAAGGCTGGCTAAGTGGACTGGGGAGTGTCTGAAGTCCCTTCTGTGAGGGAACGCCCCTCCCCCAAGGGCATTTCAGATACAAGTATATTTAGGGCACAGTGGATACAGCACCAGCCCTGGAGTTAAGAGGACCTGAGTTCAAATCTGGACTCAGATACATAATACTCACTAGCTGTGTAACCCTAGGCAAGTCACTTAACCCCAACTGCCTCACAAAAAAACCCAAACAAATAAACAAACAAACAAAAAAAACCAAACCAGATACAAGTATATTTTCAGAAATCTCATGGAGGGGAGTCATAGGTTGTGTAAGGGATAGAAAATGTTCTCAGAAAAACGGGAGTCCTTTTCAAGGTCATCCAAGTCTCGAGATGCCATGGTCACAGTCAGCGAGGGAATATCCGTCCTACCTGATAATGCTTAGCAGCGACTTTCAATCCTTCATCGTTATCCAGATTCTGGTCTGCTGCAATCTGGCTCGCTAATGCCGCACAGTTGAATAACACACATGTCTTTTCATAGCCTAAACTTGCAAGAGCTGTTTAAAAAAAATAATAACAAAATTTGAGAAGAAAAAGTTCACCCCATTGCTTTCTCTAATGAAAACAGTTTCCCTAGGTTTTATTTATCAAGGCATTCAACAAATATCTCTCGTGCTGTTTGTACAGACAGAGAAATAAATGTGGGCTAGACTCTGACAGAGCTGAATGGTGAGAAGCAAGATGACAGCTTGGCAGGAAGTCTCCAGGGAAGTGCCCAAGAGATCTGCTGCTATTAGCCCCATGCAGCCATTCTGAAGCATGGCTTAGATGATGGTACAGATAACCTCCCAAACCAATTTGCAAATGACCCAAAGCTGGAATGAGGATTAGCAAACCAGTAATTCTAAAACAGTCTTTCCCAAGTGCTGACCGAAGATGGGAGATGAGCCAGACATCGCTAAGCAGAGAAAACAAGTCAAGTCCCCATGCTGGAGAGGACAACACAGAGAAGAGAGTGACACCACCAGACAGGCGCATACAAAGGAGAAACAGCAAGGTCAGAGGGGAAGGCAGCAGGTGACAGGAGGCAAGAGAAGGAAGAAGTCAATGGTTCTACGGGGCAGGGGAGCTCAACATCAGCACGGCCGAGGAAAAGCCAAAACCAAAAGCAGCATTGTCAGGCTAGAAGGCTGTACTGAATAACAGAGATAAAGTCAAGCCCAAAACACTCAGGTTCAAAAAAAGACAACTAGGCTCTGTACCACGGAGATTATCAGCCCTTCCTTTTCATAACCCTCTGTGCGTGCATGCGCGCACGCACGCACGCACACACACACACACACAATATAATGCATGGGAGGGGACCAGAGTTCTCTGATTTCACTGGTATAGAGAACTCCTGGGGAGGAAAACACCCTCTCCCAATGCAGGTCGGCGTCCCCTCTACAACTTCAAAGTCGTAGCGAGCTGCCCAGCGCAGAGCTCTAAGAGGGTTAGGGACTATCCAGGGCAATCCAGTCATGACGTGTCAAAAATGGGACCTGAACCCAAGTCTTCCCGGCTCCAAGGCCAGCTGCCCAGCCACTACAACAGGCTGTGTCTGGGGCAGTTCAGCTCCACTCACAAAAATGAAGGTTTAATAACTATAAATATAGAAATATGCACACATATTACATAAATGTTTTCTAATTATACTACATGCAACACTCCTAAATTAGGTGCTGCAGATGGGGCCCACTCTGAGTGCCACAGGAGACGAGGAAGGAAAAAGTCACCATGGACAGAGCACTCGGGCCAGACTCGAGCGGGTCGAGGGTTAGACCTAAGGGTGGCAGGGAAAGAGGAGAAGAAGAAAGATGCAAGCAGGAACAGTAGCAAGAGCAAAAAAGCAAGAGAGGGATTAGCTGGTGTCTATGCAGCTGGTACCTGTCAGCATCTCTCATCTCGCCATCCGAGGGATGCTCAGTAAAACCCTGGCTGGTAACTGTACAAGTTTTGAACCCAAACCCCATCCCTCCTAAAGACAGCTCTGCAGGGACCTGTACACCCATTTCTCCCACTGACTACCCTACCTGCAGTCCAGGAAGGCACCGGGCTATTACGGAGCTGCAACAAACAACGGAAAGCGTGGGAAGACCCTGATGAAATGATGCCACCTCAGGAAAAACCACCCTCATTCATCAACACTCTAAGTGAGCAGGAGATGGGAACAGTCTGCGATTTCACTGGAATTCCCACTGGCCACACAGGTCAGTGCCAGGGGCCTGGGACACGTCAGCTCCCTCTCCACTAGACCACACCGAGCGGAAACACAAACCAAAGACCTCGGTGTGTTCAGGATAATTATAATGGCTGAGCTTGGCTCAAAAAGGGGGATGAAAAATGACATCTTGCTCCTGTGCTGAGCTGACAGTGCAGAGCAATGCATGCAATGTCAGACTCAGCTGAGGTACTGGCTAAGCTTGCAGGACTGTGTTTCATTCTTTGTTACAAGGAGATGGGATACTGGGAAATAAAAGTAATAAAAAAATACCATTTTTTAAAAACTATATGGGAATTGGAGGACCAGAACCTTCTGGGAGAAAAATGGAATTGGACTTTTTTTTTTAATACATTAGAAAGTAGTTTGGAGGAATGGTGATAACTGGACACATTCTACCTCACTCTTGGCTATTTTTCCCAACAATAACCGGCTAAGGGCTGCTAGGAGGGACCAATGGAAAAGCCACAGACAATACCAGGAAGGCAGAGGATCCAAAGCGCCATCAGAAAGCAAAGCCGCCAGAAGCAAGAGATTTGGGCAACAGCCACAAGATGGGGCTGACGTGAAGCAGGTGGAGAAGGAACCACAGAAACACAGACAGAGGCATTAGGAGCTACACCTGCATTCAAGCCTCACTTCAGAAACTCACGAGGCAGGTCACAAGAGCTTTCTGAGTCTCAGGCAACTCCTGAGACCCACTAAGGTACAGATGGAGAGGCTGCTTCCCCATCAACAAGGGATTCCACTAACAGCCTCTGTCAGGAAGGTAACAGAACTTAAAAACAGAAAGTTTAGACCACATTTCCTAGAATTTATTTTCATAAAAAGTACCTACCCAGTTTTACAGATCCTCCAAAAAGCGATCCTTTGTCAAAAGCATCCTTCCAGGTAAAGGTCAAGCAGATCTATATTGAGGAAGAACGGAAAAGCAATCCCTGAAGGAGATGAGGCCCATTGGGAGGGGAAAGGTTAAAGGAAATGGTCTCAAACAAGGAAATCATCAGGCCCAAAATCCAAATAGAAAAATGCACACCTGCCCACCAGCCTGAAGTGGCCTCTGAGTGAGGCCTCCTCCCCATTCCAGGAGAAAGAACCCACACTCAACCCAGCAATAAACCACACTGGTCACTTTAACGGCCACGCCCCAAGCCAGTGTTTTCAACCTCGCTGCTTCCTGGCCTGACTGAAGACTTATTAAGCTTCTAAAACATAAGAATAAAAATGCATAACATGGTCAACATCCAAGATGCCCTTGGAGAAGGAAATTATGTCGAGCCCTTGGTATGGAGTCTGAAATGATTCATCCTACTTCTCTTTCATATTTAAGAAAATGCACACAAGGAAACTGGCCCAAATACTTGGCGGAGACATCTACGTTCCATGTGAAATCATGCTCTATAATTCCTTATGGGCTAAAGAAAAAAATTAGGAGAGTCTTAGTGGCACAGGCAGGACAGAAGGGACACAGACGGGCCCCAGGCTTCACCACCACAAATTTCAAGGGGAAGAAGGTACTTCTATCAAATTGGCATCCTTCAAAAACATCCCTAATAATGGCTCCCTCTCACAAAACATTAGTAATAACACACACGCCCCCAATTCCAGCTCTCTATGCCATAGGCAGAATCGAGTGGATGATTTCACATGCCATAGTTTTTAAACAAACTAAAATAAGTTTTTACCTGGTTTTCAGAAAATGGGAATTTTGGCTCAATGGAACAAATCTGATCATAATACCTAAAAAGCAAAACCAAAATGAGTAACTACAACAGTGAGAAACTGCACATCATTTCCAACCCATTCTGTACATTTCAAATCTAATTTATCCTCAGCAGTTAATTCACCCTTGGCCCTCTTAACAGAAACTCCAGTGGGATTTATGAGCTCCCAAGGCAGGGAGGAGTGGGGAACCCACTCAAAGTGCTGCGTGCCTTGGTTTCCCAGGACATCCCAAGGCCACGGGCATCTCCCCTCTCCATCATCAATTTCTCAAACAACAGCCTTTGCCCAGATTCTTCCGTGCAAGGCCTGGTTAGTCCTGGGTTCAAGGCCTGTTCACATCCATTGTGTACTTCTCTATGGAGCCCAGAATCCGTGAGTCACAGTCGATCGTAATTCTTAGAAGACTGTCAGGTTCAACGACTCACCACTACACATCCCCAGCAGACCACAGATAATCAATGGACAGACAGGCCTTCATTTCAGGGGCAGCATAAGGCCAATCACTAAAGCTCTGTAATCTCCCACAATGTTAACAGAACCAACTAAATTAAGTGAGCACATGAAGTTACAATGTAAACAGGTGAAAATCAATCCCACAGTCCCTCTATCCCCTGAAAAAAAAAATTCATGCATTGCAGACTACAAAAGAGTGGACAGGGAGTGGCCCAAAGGCAGGCAATTCTAATTCTTTGGGAACATCCCAGGCCCCAAGCCACCCCAGGACACAGTCCTGGGTCCTCATTGCCTTTCAGCCCCCATAACTCCCCCGTGATTCATTCCCACATCACCACCTGCCTAATAAACATATACCACACCGCCTATTCCTGAAGGCATCACGACCTCAGCACATCCAAAACTGAGCTCATCATCTTCCCCCTCCCTCCAAACCGCCCAATTTCTGGCTGAAGGAACCCCCATCATTCTCCCAGATTTGTAACCTCAGCATTAGCCTGGACTCTTCACTTGTCCTCACCCCACACAGCCAAACAGTTGGCAAATCTTGCCATTTCTAGCTTCACAACATAACATCTCTCACATCCAGCCCCTCTCTTTGCTACCTACACTGATAAAATCACAGGTCTAGTTTTCAGAAATCTGAAACAACAAAATGATTCAAACTTAAAATAACAAAAAGGGTTATTTTTTCCTAGAGGCACCAGGTAGTTTATTGATCAGGAGTGGCTGGGTTAGAGCTACCTAAGCTTTAGGTTATCACTTAGGTGGAGGAAATACTGGAGAGAGTTGAAGCTGGAGGCAATAAACTTTTTGTTTATTGCCTGCACACCTCAGGTATCTGAAGCATTAAGGAGGAGGCTAAAATAAGAGGATTCCCCAAGGCCAGGGAAGTGTTCCCAATGTTCCTATTTGTATAGGACAATAAAGTATTTATTAAGTGCCTAAACCCTGTGCTAGGCATCTGGGAGACAAAGACAAAAAAAGAGTGCTCCGTGTCCTTCGGGACCTTACATTCTATCAGAGTAGATACTTGTGGCTGACCTTTGAAATAAATCAGTTAGTCTAAGACTGTGGAGATGAGACACTGGAGGCAGGGAGGCCATGGCAAGACATGATGAGGCCCTAAAGGAGGCTGGTCCCCATGTTACTCGGGAAGAGGATGGACCCAAGGCACGTTGTGAAGGTTACATCAATAACAATTGGCAACCGATTTGACACGTGTGGGAGAGTGGGTCCCCCAAGATTGTGAACCAACTGACCAGAGGGATAGTGGGGCCCTCAACAAAAACAAGAAGGTTCAAAAGAGGGGTGAAAGAGCGGGGAAAAGAGAATGGGCCCTTTTCTGGACATGCTGAGTATGAGATTAAAATGCCTGGGAGGCCAGCTGGTAAAGTGAGACTGGAGGGCAGGAGAAAGCCTGGGGCTGAATATATAAATCTGGGAATCAAGCATGGAGATATTTAACCTGAGGGGAGAGAAGGAAATAGAACCAAGAAAGTAGAAAACCCAGGGAATAGAGAATAAAGGAAAAAGCAGGTACCTTAAGCAGGTACCGTGTGCAGAAGCGTGGGCTTAAGCTTTAGGGAGACAGAGAAAAAGCAAGACAGGCCCCGGCTTTAAGGAGTCCCTAAGCCACAGAGATTTCGGCTCCAAGTCAGAGAGCAAGGCCTGCTGGTCCTCAGGTGGCAGGCAAACTGTGGATGCATCCACTTTTAGTGTCTCTTCCACCAAACCCTTTGTCAGAGCCGAGAGCCTTTTCTTGTTCTAGAGGAGATGGGGCTTCTGCGACTCTGAGGTTCTAGGGAGAATATCCAATCAAATACTGCAGAGAAGCTGAGCAAGATGAGGACTGAGAAAAGACTGACTGATTTGGCTACCAAGAGACCCCTAGTAACTGGAGAAACATGTAACCAGCCTTCGGGCGCTACAGCTTCCTCTGTGAAAGTCATCCCGGAAGAACAAGGAGGATGAAAGATGCGCAGGACCAAGGTATGCCAAGTATATATAGCTTGGAGAAGCACCACAGACTGGCAGTGAGATGGACCAGGAGGTGACAAGACAGGCAAAAGCAGGCCCGATCCCCTCCTGGGATCCTGACGCAAACCCCATCCTGTCATCTCCTTGGGATGCTACATAAGTGCTAATCATGAAACATCACCACCCCAAAGGCTCAAATCTGTGGGTGACTGCAAGGGCAGTGAGAAAGTGTGGTGAGTAGAAGCCCATGTGAACTAAGACCATGAAGGCTGAATGCCAGGACAGGAGGGGCACAGCTGGCTGGTAAGACAGACAGACAGCCTGAGGCCCATTCCTACCCTCCCTCCAGGGACCTGTCCCATGAGTTGAGCATGTCGGCTCCCAGGTCACTATTCTCCCCTCTCTGTAGACTGCTGGTGGTGAAATATTTAGCTACCAGGGCCTTGTGTAAATGCTCCAAGTGGGGTTAAATGAAAGAAAAGAACAAGATGAGGAGGTGTGAAATGACTGAGATCTTCACAGGCGAAGGAGGACCCCCACGGGGGAGACTACAGGTTCATCACAGTAAAGATGCTTTTCCACATAGAAAGTAACCAGATCTCCAAGGAAAAAGGGTTCTCTCCTCTCCCGCTCTCAAAAAAGTTCAAGGTCAGTCTGGATGGGAAGGCTCAAAGCAAGGGGGAATCCATGTTCCCTCCAGAGAAGCTCAATATTAGTCCTCCTGGGCCTGCTGCAGGTGCCAGAGCAGAGGACAAAGGCCATCAACAAGATGGACTCTAGAATCGAGGATTCAAAGGGAATATTCTGGGGAATAGCGCCAAGCTGCTGGCCAGACTGTGGCCTGTTCTTGGTCTCAGGGGATACCCTGAGGCAGCAGGAAATACTGTGTCCCATATGGTCTCTTATGGACCAACCTCCCAAGGTACACTGGCCATCAGAGAGGAGCAGGACTTTGCTCTATGTGGCTTAACAGGAAGTCCAAACTTCGAAAATAAACGATCGGAGGGATTTAGATACACTGTGGATCAGACTGTACTTACTTCCCAAAACATTCCAAAGACTAGCCTGGCATAATTTAGCTGGGTGAGGAGCTCAGCGGCCATCTCTTACTCCCCACCCTCCCAGGCCTGACAAGGGGTGAGCCAGCCTCACCACCCTCGAGGGAGGGAGTCCACTCCTGCTGGTGCCAGTTACCCCAACATCAAGAGAAAGCCTCAAAACATGTCTCTCTTTGCTCCTTGCCCTCCCTGCCTCTGGCACCGTCCTCTGAAGGAAAGGGAACAAGTTCACACCCTAACAACTGCTAACCACGGGTCACCATCCTCTCAAAGAGCAGCCTGACAGCGTTCGAATACTCCGAGACTGCTCTCCTGTCCCCCAGTCTTTTCTTCGGGCCAGACCTCCTCCCACGTTGGACTCTGGGCCTTCCCCCACCCTGGCTGCCCCTTCCTAACCCACAGGGCCCAGATCTGACCGGGACGGAGGGCAGGGGGACTGTGACCTTCCTGCTCCTGGGCTTCAGCAGCCCCTGCTGACTCAGAGTGAGCTTGCAGGCTATCAAGACCCCCAGCTCCTTTTCAGAACTGTCTCTCCACACCAGCATACCTCTGAAGACTTCCCATTTATCGCTACTCCTGAGCTTGCCCAAGTAAGGCTCCATCATGCCCTCCCTCCCTCCCTCCCAGTGTTGGGTGGCAGTCGGTGACACAGATGAGAAGGACGCCGACCCCAGGACGGCTCCACTGCCCCTCCCGGCTGTTCCACAGCGTGTGCAGCTGCTCTGGACTGTGCCCACACTTTCACCCACGTTAACACCGCACAGCAAGGCGGGTGACACACGCGTGGAACCCAGGCCCCTCCCCGGCCGGCCCGGACTCCTCGGGGGCAGTGACCCACCCGACGCGGGGGCCGGCGGCGTCAGCCCGGGACCTCACCCCGGAGCCCCCCACCACCACCTCCTCCTCCCTGGGGCCGCCCCGCCCCCACACACAACTGCGCGTCGGGCCCTCGGCCCCCGCCCCGCCCCCACCGGCCGGCTCCCGGGAGGGCGGGGCGGGGCGCGGCCGGGCGGGGCGGGGGGGGCGCTCCCCGGCTCCCCCCGCCCCCGCCAGCCCCCCTCACCGCAGCAGCGCGTCCAGCGCCGCGTCGTGGCGGTCCAGCGGGCGGCCGAGCGCGGCCCGGCGCAGGCGGTTCAGCTCCTCGGCGGCCTTGCCGAACTGCACCGCCTCCTCGCCGCCCGCCGGGTACGTCTGCTGGATGAACTTGCTCAGCGGCCGCGCCACGTCCACCTCGGCCGCCTTCTTCAGCTGCACCGTCACGAACGTCGCCATCGCGACGACCCCAAGCAGCCGTCACTACCGCCGCCGCCGCCTACAGCCCGGCCCCGTCAGTCAGCTCGGCACTTCCGCTCTCGCCTTCGCGCGGCCGCGCACGCAGGCTGCGTCGTAGCGGCGTGGCAGCGCGCGCATGCGCCTGTGGCCGGCAGGGCCCAGCACCGCCCTCCGTGACACGTTACGACCGCAGGAAGGGCGGGGCCCGGAGAAGCAGCGCCTGCGCAAACAGCTCTCCTCCCCTAGAGGCCCGCCCCCCCAGGAGAATGTGAGAGTGCGCAAGGTTCTCCCCGCCCAGGCTTTCCTTTCAATGGGGGAGCACGGAAACGAGAAGGGGAAAGGGCCTGGATCGAGTGCGCATGCGCAACTGCTGCGCTGCTTACCCTCTCACCTCTTCCCCCCACACGCAGTGTGCGTGCGCGTGCACTCTTTTTTCTTTTTCTTCCCCCCCACCTCCTCCGTTCTTACATGCTGTACAATACCAGGGGAAAATCCGAGCGACATGGGGAGGGGCCCGACGCCACGGCGCGTGCGCGGACTCCTCCCCAGCCCAGAATCCCCAGAAGTGTTCGAGCTTGGAGGCGCAGGAAGGGCTGCTATCTATGCGCTTGCGCGGACTTCTTGAAGCCTCTCCCCACAAGTCCTTGAAGCCGCCCTTGCGCATGCGCAGTCTAGTCCCCACCCCGGCGTCCCCAGAAGACATGTAAAGGGTTGTCCCCAATGCGCTTGCGCAACTTCTTGCAGCCTCTGCCAGTTTTCAAGTTGTGGGCCAGACTCTTGAGTCCTTGACGTGACCCAGCTCCGGGGGCCGAGGCAGGCATTTGAACCCAGGGCTCCTAGGTCCCACGGCGTCGTTGCGTCACTGCTCTGCACACAGCAGACGCTTGGGAAGTGCCTGTCACGTTGATGGTGGTGTCCAGCACCCGTGCCCCTGCGCCAGTGCCCTCCGATGTCTCCGTCATCGGGAGGCTGCCAGGGCGGGACCCCGAAATCTGCACCCCCGGGGAGCCTGGCACGGCAGAAGGGCTGCGTGCCGCCCCAGACGCTTTGGCCAACTGGCTCAGCCGGGCCTGGTGCTGGGGGGCGGGGCCAGGCGGAGACCAGAGCCGCGGGGGGGGGGGGGGGGGGGACTCGCTCCCGCATCCCCCGCTGGGCCGGGCTGCCTGCACGCTGGACCCCTGCTGGGGCAGGGGGCAAGGGCCACCGGGTGGAAAGGCCGGAACCCAGAGGGGTCGGTGGCTCCTGCAAAGACCGCGGAGTCCCCAGGGGAGCCAGGAGGTGGAGAGGCAAACCCAACTCCGCTTGACTCTGCCCGAGTCACTGAGGCAGGCTTTCTTGGATCTGTAGTGGTGGATGAAAGTCCTTTCTCAAGGCAGCTAGGTGCTGTAGTGGAATCCAGAAGACCTGAGTTCATATCCAACCTCAGGTACTCCCTAACTGGGAGACCCTAGGCAGGTCTGCCTCAGTTTACCCTCTTGTAAAATGGGGGTCATAACAGCACACCTACCTTGCGGGGCTATTGAGAGTTCAAATGAAATAATATCTGCACATAGTAGGCGCCATATAAATGCTTATTCCTTCCCAAAATAGAGCTGGGAATGCTCACATTACAGTCTGGGGCTGCTGGGAACCCCAAAATTCAAGGGCAAAAGGCAGGGGTCCTGCCTCCAAAGAATTCGATCTCTGGAGCGGCCTTCTGGTCAGAGACAAGGATTTTAAGAACCTGTGCATTTGTGATGCTTGTATTGACAAGCAGGCCAGATTTGAAGAATCTGAGCCATTTAATGATAGCAAGATGGACACTTTTATACAGAAAGACTGTGGTGAGATCTGGATAGGATTAAGGAGTGGCAAATAGCCTGGGGTGACCCAGAGGTAGCAGAGAATGAAGGGTTGGGGGGCAGCCCCAATGAAAGTGATGGGGTATGGGCCCAAGCCTCGCCTAAAAAAAATCTGGCTCCCATTTGTCTACGGGCCCCAGAAAACCCTTAAACTTTTCTTACCATGGTTCCTTATGGACTCCCCTTAGCTTCCTTTGAAAGCCCAAGCCTCACCTTTGGATCTTATTCAGATGCCTTGCAAACTTCTTCCTTCCAGCTGCCTTCACTATCTATTCCCATTATCCAATCTCTCAGACCTTCCAATTGGAATTCTCCCTAAATCACCTAGACCCTTTTGCCAGCCCCTCCTCTGGTCACCCAAAATTACTTGAGAGTATATAAGATCCACCCTGGCCCCCATTTAAACACTGAGACTCTCTCATACACTCATCCCTACGGGCGATACTAATACTCAGATTCCTTAACAGTCTGGCCTGTATGGTTTATCTCTAATAAACTTTTTCTCTGGCTGAAAGAAGATTTGGATTGAATTCATTCAGGCATCGTGATCTAGGGGTCCCAGCACCCCTAAACCTCTAGACCTCATCAAAAGGACAATTGAAAGGATTATTGACCTGGAAGGGCCAGGTGCCTCAGGCAAATACCAGAGATCTGGGCTCAGGGGCTGGGTTGTTGGAAAAGTTTCAGGGGCTTTTAGGGGTCCAGGTTCCATCGCTGTCCCTCAGAATAAGCTCAGGCTGGCAAGAGAGACCAAGGACAGCTAAAAAGAGTCGGTTACTTTAAATACACTTAGAGGAAAAAGAGATTCAGCAGATTGGACTGACTGAGACCGTGCTGACAGACAAGGGGAGAAAGGCGCCTCGTTTGTCTACAAAGAACAATGACCTGGACACTGGAAATGAGAGGGAAAGATGGTGTGTGGAGTCAATGGCCAAGACAAGTAAGGAGAGGGTAAGAGAACCTGTAGCTGCCGTGGCAGGACTTAAGTCACCCAACCTAGAAGAACTGTAGCCTGAGGCTGCAAAAGAATGAGCCAAGACCACTGCCACCATCAATAATATTGGAAAGAATACTGCTAGAGGCACTAGCTTTGGAAGATGGTGGAAAATTGGAGCAGTGACATGAGATTGGAGGAGGACAACTGTCGTGCTGATTTTCAAAAATCTGCAAGAGAATAACAGAGTCCACAAACTATGGACCAGTTAGTTTGACTTGGGTTCCTGGCAAAATTCTAGAATGGCTCATTAAGGGAGTAGCTGGCCACGAAAGGAAGCGGTCAGCCTGGCTCCGTCCAGAACAGAGCATGCCGTGCCCAAAGTGCATGAATGTGTTCCCAGCCCAACGACTCTCCACCTAGAAGAGGCTGTGGAACCCGCTTCCAGGGGAATCACAGTGTCATAGAAAGGCACGTGTCTTGGAGAAATGCTGGTGTGTGTGTGTGGATGTTCTCGTGCTGGTTCTGATTGGTGTACCACATGGTGGACTCTGACAGAACCGAAGTTAGTCTCTCTTTCTCTCCTTCCTCCTTCTCTCTTCCTCTCTCTCTTAATTGTTTTTACTTGCTTCATGAAATACTTCCCAATCACATGTAAAAAAAAGTTAATCATTTTTTAAAATTTTGACTTCTAAATTTTCTCAAGCAATTTGATTTCAATCATACACGAGTTCATGCCAAACGTATTTCCATATTAGCCATGTTGCAAGAGAAAACACAAACAAAATAAAACAACAAAGATAGAGACATTTTTTAAAAAGCCACTTCCATCTGCATTTAGAGCTGCTCAGTTCTCTCTGTAGAGGTGAAGAGCATTTTTCATCCGAGTCTCATGAAAGTGTCTCCTTATCCCTCTCTCTCAGTGGAGCTCTGCTCTGGCTCAGCCCCTCCCTAGCAGTGCTCAGTGAGACCCAGGGGGAGAGGCCTTCCCAGGCCGTCAGGTGACTCCTGGGAAATGGGCTTTGGGCCTCTGCTCTAGCATTTGTTATTTCATTTTATGTGGCAGGGTTAAAGCGTGGGCACTCCTGAGTTTCTAAAGATCAGGAGAGGGAGCTGATGGGGCCAAATCTCTGACATTCCCCTGAGGCTCTAATCCCATCAACTGGCCTTTCATTGTGGCTATGGCCAATCTCCCAATTCTCTGTTACCCTTAACCTGGCCTAGCCCTCCATTGTCTTACCTCCCTATGCCCCCCCACCCCCCCACCACTTCCCACCTGTAATCCTAGCCAGGCCCCATTCTCCCTTGGCCACATGGTCCAGCTCCCTGGCTTTCTATTACCTCACAGTCCCTTAGACTGCTTGGCCACCACTAGATCCCTCCCATCGTCTTTCTGTATATAAAGTCCATCTTGTCTTCATTAAGATGCTCGGATTTTTATAATCTAGCCACTGCTCAGATTTTTACAATCTAGCCAATAACTCACAGGTTCCTTAAGAGTCTGGCTAATAATGGCAGATCTTTAATAAACCTTGTCTTTGGCTGAAAGAAGGCTTAGGTTAAATTCTTTCAGGCAGAACTCATGTGTCACAATTTTGGGGTTCCAGCACCCCTAAACCTCTTTAAGTTTTCTTTTTTTTTCTGTACTATTTGGGGGGGGGTAGGCAATGGGGTTAAGTGACTTGCCCAGGGTCACACAGCTAGTAAGTGCTGAGGCCAGATTTGAACTCAGATCCTCCTGAATCCAGGGCCGGTGCTCTATCCACTGCACCATCTAGCTGCCCCACCCCTAAACCTCTTGACCTCATCAGAGCCATCCAGATGTCCAGGAGTTCAACAGTTGAATGCATGCTGAGTTTGCCACCATTCCAGCACTGATTCCCTAGAAGAGAAAAGTCAGCCCAGAGACAGCTGAGAAGAGGAACCCCTGGGCAACCACGCCAACTGGGCAGGAACTAGGTGGGACCAGTGCGATGTATAAACTGTGCTCAGACTGAGCCACCAACGTGGTATGGCGAGAGCATGCAATCCAGGTGGTGGGGAAAATGTTTGTTCTTGTTGAATCCCCAGAATATGTCATTATCCCATTGTAAAAAAAAAAAACAAAACCAAACCAAACCAAGAGACACAGAGAGAGAGAGAGACACAGAGAGAGAGACAGAGAGAGAGAAGAGGTGGTCTGGCAGACTGAGTGTACTTTTTTAAAAAAAAGGAATTACTAAACATGTAAATGAGAATGCTATGGCTTTATTTTACCTAGATTTTACCAAAGCCTTGAACATTCTTTCATGCTCTTCTGGTGAGGAAGATAGAAGGAAAGCCAGACCCCAGGATTAGTTGCCAATGGCTCAAAGCCAGTGTAGCAGGAGGCATCCAGTGAGGGCCCCAGGGAATCTGATGTTTATTTAACCTTTTCATCAGTAACTTGAATAGAGGCAGAGACAACATGCTGGACAAATTTGCTTACATTAAACTAGGAAGAGCAGACTACATGGGAGACGGCAGAATCTGGAGCCCAAAGGCTAAATATTGGGCTAGATCTCGTCAGATGAAGTTCAGGGGGATAAATATAAAGTCTTGAACATGGGGACCCAAAAATCAACTTCAGAAGTATAAGGTAAAGGAGTCATGGTGAAGAAAAATCATTCTACACAATAACTGGGGCGTTAGCAAAATCCAAGTTTGATGTGAGGCAGCATAAGACTGTATAAGACTGACGCAATCTTGGGCTGGATTATGAAGGGAGTGGTCCTCCCACTACCCTCTGCCCTGGTCAGACCTCATCTGGAGTATTGTGTTCTTCTGGAAGACCTAGGGGGTACCATAGTGCACAGAGCGATGGGACTGGGGTCAGAAGACCCTAATCCAAAACCTCAGACACTCCCGAGCTGTGAGACCTTAGGCAGGTCACTTAACCTTTGTCTGCCTCAGTTTCCTCAACTGTAAAATGAGGATCATTTGTCGTGAGGATCAAATGAGATGATGTTTATAAAACTGTTAGCACCATGTTGATCATGATTATTCATTTTCTTTATTCCGGTCACGATGGCGTAAGTTCATTGATGAGCTGAAGTCCAGAGGAGGGGGACCGGCATGGTGAAAAGCCTGGAGTCCATGGCATTGGAGGAGAGTCACAGAGGACTGTGATAGCTGGCTTCTAGTATTGGAAGGGTTGTGATGTGAAGGTAACTGCTCTAACCATTAGGCTCCCTACCCCAGAGCAGTTGGGCATCCCTCAGATAGCCAGCCCCTCCCTAGACACAGGAGGATCATCTAGCTTCTGGCCAGCTGTCCTACTGTAGCAGCCCCTCCCAAACACCCCCACCTTGCTGAATCAAAGGACTTCTCTGTGCTTCCAATAGGAAAAGCCCCTTCCCTGGTTCCAGCCCCCAAATGCCCCCAAGGGCTTCATCCACCTCCAGGGTCCTGCCCACCTCTACCTTCCTCTTCCTTTGGGCCCACCCATCTTTCTAGACTGGTTACCCATTTCACCCACACCCCTTGCCCACTGTGCTCCAGAAGAGCCCAAAGGTTCGGCCTTGGTGCCGTGGCACAGCTTAGCCCTGATGCCTAGAACACTCTCCCTCCTCACCCTTGTCTCTGCATTCCATCAAGGGGCGTTTCCTGATTTCCTCAGCTGTCAGCTACCCTCCCACTGCTGTTACAATGTGTTCTGTACTAGCTTGAGGAGGGCAAGGACTGGCCTGTGAGCCCAGGCCTTGTGAGATCATGAAATCTGTTGTTTACTGGTCTGCTTTCCCAGGAAAAAGAGCTGAGAACACATTCAGAAAGCACCAAACGCCAAGGCGTTTTCTCCTTCCTGCCTTTGAGGGGGAGGCAAGGATCCCGTAGGGCCAGAGGGGAGAAAAAGCCCAGGCCTTTACCTCTCTGCCCAGGCCAACACCTGGTGACCCTACACTTGTTTCTGCTTCTGCTGTATCTATCCATTCCTGCTCTTAGGTGATCTTGTGAGCTATGAACTATCTGGAGACCAGGCCAGCAGAGATCCAGACCAGAGTCCTTGGTCCACCAGCCCAGCAGTGGACGGACCCTACAGCCACGATGGTGGGTCCTGCAAGGGTGAAGGGCTTGGCCTCGATGTAGGAAAGCAAGGTCAAAACTGAATCACGTGCAGCGTAAGAAGCAAGGGGAGCCCCAGGGGCCCCACCCTCCACAGGCACCATCATGGGCAGTAATTCAACCTGAGACACATTAGGCAACATGATTGTCAGGCCCCTTCCCTTCGTCCTTCCTTGCACCCTTTTGAACTGTCCTAATTTGTTCGCAGCCCCAGCGCAATGTGGAGCGTCCAGGTGCTCATCCCTCTTCCGTATCTGGGGAGCTTCTGGCCGGTCCTTCCAAAGCTTGTGTCCTTCTGTCCCCTCCCTCAGCTTCCACATGCGCAGTTCATTCCTACGCAACATAACCCAACCTCAACGCAACCTTGAGATTGGACAAATTAACAGGAGCAAAAAGGCAACAGCAGCAGGCCAGGGCACCCCAAAACAGAGAGGACAAGAGAGCTCAAAACATTAAATTAAATCAGCAAACGGAGTCCAAGCACTCCCTCCCCCGAGCTCCAGCCTGACCTTGCGTTTCTAAGAAGGCAGTCTTCACATTCATCGCTGTTCATGCTTCAATCCACATCATGGGAAGGTTCCATGCGTCAGTGGTCACAGCGTCTCCCAGGCCCTCTGGGCGGCCCCCAGCAGACATCCCCATCTCCTGCCGGCTGCCCCAGGGCTTGGGAATGGCTCTGTGTTCTCGGTACTATCAGAGGGGGCCCTGCAGGCCCAAACTTGCCGACACGAGGCTCAAACTCACAAAGGGCTTGCTAAGGCTAAACAAATCCAAGGGTCCTTGTTTCCGACAGCAGCCCCGTGCTCCAAGCTGAGTACCCACCCACCTTTCAGCACTGCAGAGAGGAGGGAAGTGCCAGGGTTAGCCTGGACTTCTGGTCAGGGCTCCGGGCTGGCTTTGCCAGGAGAACCTCCTGCCTGCCCTTTTAAGTTCGCATTTCACCCCAGAGGCTCTTCTTGGCCGGGCACACCTGGCACCCGGCAAAATGCCCCAGTGAGACTGAGCACTTCATACACATGTGTAGAAATGCCGGGCTCCAAAAACGCCCAGGGAGCGGTGGAGGCGCGGCGCCTAGCAAATAAGGGCTCCAGCCTGGCTACCTCGCCGTCCAAGAGCCGGTGGCTGGCGAAGGTGATCCCCGCGACAGAGAGACTTTCAAGATTGAGTCCAGTCCAATTCCTGGGCTGGCGTGGAGCTCCTAATGGATGGTTAATCAGTACTTAATCCGTAGCACACAGTTAGGAGTGAGAGAATTGGCAACACTGCCTCCTCTCTTCCGTGAAGCCCCCCTTTCCTCCTGGGGTCTCTGCTGTGCACTGAACATCTCTGTTCTCCTTCCCCATCCGCCCAAGTCTCTTCGCGTGGTCCCGGCTCTTCCAGTCCTGATGAACCCATTCCCAAGGCGATGCACAGTTTGTCTGGGATTTGCCCGCGAAATTGGTGAGGCAAATACTTGGTGACTGCTTTAAGTTTGAGTCCGCCCTCCCCAGGGACTGAGGTAGCAGCGGGGACAGCGAACCCCTCAATGTTGGGGAGACATACTTGTACTTACGTTCCTGACGTATCTTCTCAAATGGTTGGCGATTGTTCAGTCATGTCCAAGTTTTCATGACACCATTGGGGGTTTCCTTGGCAGAGATACTGCAGTGGTTTGCCATTTCCTTCTCTAGCTCATTTTACAGATGAGGAAACTGAGGCAAACAGGGTGAAGTGACTTGCCCAGGGTCACACACAGCTAGGAGGCATAGAGGCCAGAATTGAACATAGGAAGATGAGTCCAGGCCTTGCACTCTAGACCACCCAGCCGCTCCCCTAACAAGAGTAGCTTCATATACCACATTAAGGTTTGCAAAGCATTCATTTTCAGATGAGAATATTGAGGTTCAGAGAATGGCATGACCAGTCACACAATTAGTAAGTGACTGAGGTGGCATTTGAAGCCAAGCCTTCCTAATTCCTATGAGATAAAATGTGAGATTTGGGACTTCACTGATATATGGGGAAATCCCAAAGAAGGAAACTCCATCCCCTAACGCATGCCGGCACCTTTTCTTTCCCCTATAGATTCAGACAGTTGCTGAGAATACCAAGATCAGATGGCTACCTAGTGCATGCATGTGAGGACCAGCACTTGAATTCGGGACTTCCTGCCTCTCTCTGGACCCTGGATTGCCTCTCGTACTGGAATGATACCAAACTGAACGTTTTTTCTGTAATGATACAGGGGGCTCTTTGTGAGGGATTGTCTGATGTTGGCTACGTGCCACATGGGGGTTGTGGCAAGATGGGGCAGAGACAAGATATTAGGAAGTAACCGGAGCTCACGCTCCCGAGGCAGGGGGTTGTGCCATGTAGAGTTGTGGTGAACTGGGGTAGGAACAGGATACGGGGAAGTAGCCGGAGCATGTGCTCCTGAGGCAGGGGGCTGTGCCACGTGGGAGTGGGACGGCAGAGAATGAGCTCCCTTTGTCTAGTCCTCTCCCTAGGTGTAGTGCTAACCCCAGATGTCTCCTTCCGGTATCTGATCCTACAACCAATCACTAGTAGGCAGGCTGAGGAGGAGGGGCTAGGAAGGTATATAAGGGGTGGTAGGGATCAGAGCTCTCTCTCTTGCTCCTGCTCTTGCTTTCCTGCTTGGCCTTGCTGTGATGGTCTCTGAATAAAGTTCAAGTGCTTGCACCTCCTGATCGGCTCGTCTCTGTGTTTATCCGGGTGGGCTCCAAGGACTGGTGAGTATGACCCTGGCAGCCTGCTCCTGTTAGAAGGAGAGTGCACGGCCCAAACAGCACAGCTCTTCAAGGTCTTACGGTTCCCCAAAGCCACTGATTATGGTGGTACCAATAAAGCAAGTGTCAGTGGAGCTGGGCCATGAAGAGAATCCTGGGTAAACCAGTTTTGCTTGCTTCTGACTACTGTAGTGACTAATTAGATTCACTAGTATAGATTCAGTGATGCCATAATTCTTCCTGCCTACTGCCCAGGTTTCAACATGCCTTTGAATGGGTGCCCTGTGGAGCCCATCCAAAGGTAGGGTTAGTCAGGGAAGATGGCCCATAGAACAGGAAGAGGAGACAGGGCTGGGTCACCTTTACAAAAATGCAAAGCCTGTTAACTGAGCCAAGCTTCTCAGGAAAGCAAGGGCCCACCTTTTGAATGAAAACATTTGGCCATGGTTGACGTAGGGAGGGGAGACTCGGAGAGGTGTACGGTGGACAAGAGTAGCTGCAGCGTATGACCAAGGAGGACAGGACGCCGTCAGAGAAGCCGAAGACAGGCAGAACAACGGATCGGCCCCGTGGTGAGCTCGAACGCGAACGTGAGTGGTCACCTGGTACTCACTCGATATCTGCAGAAAGCGAGGAAGGCCTCCAGCACATTGGGCCCACCCTCCCTAGGCTCAGACTGGGATCAAGATGGAGGGAGGACCCTGCTGGATGGATGAGATTCCAGACTGGTCACTGGAGTGAGTACAGAGACTATAATTCTGCCATGGGGAGATCTCCCAAGATGCCACGTGATGGCGGCCATGGAAGCTTGGAAGGCAGCACCACGCGGCTATGATCCCAGTTTCCCATCAGCCAGACATGACCAGAAGGAGCCAACAGAATGTCACCAAAGACTGTGAATCTCCTGTTTGTACTGAATCTGCAGCTAACTCAAGATGCCCAGGGTTGCTTTTTACACTTTGGTGGGGCCATCTTCTCTAGGTTCTTCACTTTACAAATAGGGAAACTGAGGTCATTAGAAGTGACCTGCCAAAGTCACCAAGATGATAAGTAGGAGAAGCAGATTTGGACCCAGGTCAAGGGCGTGCTGGAGCCAGCTCTAACTGGCTCCCAACAACTGATGGCTAAATTATATCTCAGAAGTTAAGTTACATCTCAGAAATGGACAACTACCACCAATCAGGCCTTCATTTACTGCTTTGTTGATTGTCTAGACTTAAGAAAGCGTTCATAATGCCTGTTAAACTGAGAAGTGTGTGCATTTCTCTCACACACACACACACACACACACACACACACACACACACACACACAC